CCCTTTCTGAGTGTTTCTACGAAGCAACATTAATTATCATAATTTATGATAATCTTTGCGTCATCTTTCTTAAACATGCGCTTAGAGTGTTTTATCAACAGAAAGGAAATTAAAATGTATCTGATTTGAAAAACAGGCTCCACTACACTATTGGCATTTAAAAATAACAAAGTCTTGGACAACTATTTTTTCACCAGAACATATGTCAATTGTATGTTAACAAAATTCGACATCAGTTTACATGATGTCAAGATAAGTCTAATTTTAAAGGAAAACACACAACATTACTGATTCCCAAGGTTTGATAACAGAGGATTTAGTTCAAGTCTCTTGGAAAATTCTGTATTTTCAAATACAGAAAAAACAGATGAAGACAAACATAGATTGGCTCTCTGAATGGTATGAGCCAGAGATATTGACAGTATTGAAAATAGCCCATACCTGACGAACAAAATCTTGAATGATACGCTGCTCAGACACCTAGGAAAACAATAAAATTTCAGCAATAAAAGCGATATCGATACAATAATAAAACTTTACGCAATAACTGTGAAATTGAATTTTGACGTCACTAGGGCAGGGAAATTTGTAATAGAATAAGGCCAATCTCAAGTTCTGTTAAGGTTTGTTGCCAAATAAAGGTGCTTGTTTCACGCAGATGTTTATTATCATCGTTGAACCCAACATAACGATGTCACCCAAAAGAAACAAATTACCTGGGACAAGATAACTAATTAAAAGTGTTTGCAAGCAGCATACGGTAAATTAATTTTTTTCTACTCTTGGAATCAATAAAGCACAAAACTTTAAAAAGTGCAAACAAATCTAAAATTGAGAAAATTTATTGCTTAATTCATTATTTTATTACGTTGATGGTTTTATTGGGTCATTTATTACGCTGATTTGATTTTTCAAAATCATCGCTGTGGACTTTGTTAAAACGCTATCAGTACCGTTGCGAACGTACTAACTTATAGCATAGAAGTGTTTTTGCCAAGCAGCATCAGATGCTAACAGATGTTACAAGGAACTGTTTAATATCATTATTTCATCCAACACCACGATGTCATCCGAAAGAATAAAATTACCTGTGAGCCAATAGCAAAACGCCTTTTAAGCTGTTGCTCGATCCTCCTTACTTCTTCGACGTCCTCTTCAGGAGTGAGTCCTTCAGCACCGGAGAGGCTTCCCGATCTGGCAGCCTCAAGTGTTGATACTTGGAATAGTCTCAGTGCCTCATCAACGTGTGCGTCAGTTGCAAATGGAAGTAGCTGCATCTTGGCAAGTGACTCTGATATCCTGATAATTGCTTCAAGTTGTCTACAAAATATTTTCTTCGAGTTATTTCACTGGAACCTCTCCGAAATTAGACCCAAACAGTAGTTATAAACAAGCAGTAGGAAAAACAGAACCAATGAGTGAGTCACGGCTCCTTACATAATCAGAGCATTAAGTTTGAAGTTTAAAGGAGTTTAAAGGAATGCAAACATTACAAGTAGGCTTAAAATCTGAGTGGACATAATACCCGATGCTTGATCTGAAGTTTTGCATACCATTGGTAAGGTACAAGTTGTTCTAGGGTAGAGCAGTGACTTTGCTAGCTAGTTCTACACAAATCATCGGATAATCTGCTATCAGTTGTATAGCTTAATCAACAGAGATGCTCTGTAGCTGCTTATGTAACCTTGTCAACCCTCAACCCTACACAACAACCTCTCAGTAAAGGCATCACTTCGATACCCCTGTGAGTGTATATTTCTTGTATTGTCGATTGACAGTTGAAGAAAGAAATTAGCTAACCAGCCAATTAAACAACTTTTAAGGATACATGATAAAAGTAAGCCTGCTTATTTCTACCAAATACGAATCATTAAACAAAATGTAAAACAATCCTTGCCATAAATACCTTCCAAGATATGTTGAATGCAAGGACGAAAAGACAGAATTCTCGATACTTACCGGACAGTAATTGGAATGCTACTTCTCTTGTTTGATTCCCTCTCTGCGTCGCGAGTTCCGCTTCTCATCAACACGTACCGGTTCTTTAATTTTTCAGCAGCAGTCTCAGACAACCTGGGACCACATTTCCTGGAAGCAACGCCACAACGGGCCCGGAATTAGGCCTGGCAGCCGTACAGGTTCAAGCCAAGAGCCTTGAGATAACAGGTAAAACTGATATTGGGCGATAGTTAGACTTATCAGTTTTGCCCCCTTCTATAAAAACTGGGGTAACTCTGGCCAATTTCCATGAATCTGGAAAAATGTTAGTTTCAAGTGATGTATTGAACAAACAGGCCAAAGCGTTCTCAATATGAGGTAAGGCCAGTTTTAGAAAATAGCAGGAGATATTGTCATTCCCAAAGCTCTTTGAAGACTTGGTTTTGGAAACTTTAAATCAAAGAATTAATATAAAAAAGATCACCAGGCTTGTCGCATAAACGGCAGTAACGCAACTCGATTTGAAGGTCACTTTTCTGCTGCGTTGAATTGAATTGATCAAAGATGTGTTCCACATAGTAGCAGCAGTTTAAATGGTAATTAACCAACAGTGTATGCGTTGAATAAATTGTCAGTTGTTTGAACCCTTTTTGCATGAAGTCCTCATTCCCTGAGATAGTTTTTCTTCAAGGGATGCCTTTTTACAAAGAGATATATCAAGACTTTAAACTTTTCGTGCCTGGGCAACCGTAAACTTGCATCGCATTGTGCTGAAACAAGGCGATCAAATTTATTGCAAACGTTCAATTTTTATTGTTCGGAAATATAGTCTTATCACATGTATCCGGGAAGTTTTTTTCCCGCAACTATTTCTTTTCGGGTACGAACATTTTCGCGTCCACACGGAGCGTATTCGAATCGTTTTCAGGCGTCTACACGTGTCCACTTGTATCCGGAAATTGTCGGATTCGCTCTAGTGCCCAGTTCTTTTGCGGGAGATAATCCTTAAGTGAGCATGCGCATGACTAATATTTTCGCGCCATCCTTTTGCGTCCTTGTCCCACCATGCGCTTGTCCTTCCAGGTCGCGTCCAGAATCGCCTTCGTCGATGTTTTCCTCTTTTCTTGACTTTTTGGAGTTCAGTACTCATAGAAAGGAACTTCAATACATTATGTCTATCTCGTACGTATTTGTTTTGTAAATTCATCACAGCTGCATTTATCTGAACGCATTTATCTGCATTTATCTCTAACACTACAATCTTTCTGTAATCCATGTTTGTTTGTACTAGCAGTGAGGAACTGGAACCCAGAAAATGACGTCGTGTATTCGAAAATTTTCGGATACAAGCGTCCACACGTATTCGTATTTGTATCGGATCAAAAAGTGTCCACTCTGAAGACCGTTTCCAAAAATTTCCGGATACGGCCATAAAATACGCTGCATACGTGTGGACGCAGGAAGTATTCGTAGAAAAAAAAATTTGCGTTTGCGTTTTCACGAATTTCCAGATACGTGTGGACAGGGCCGGCATTCTTTTTCAAAACCGATGTTAGTTACAACCTTTTCTCGCCATAAAAATTCACAAGAACCGTCATAAACTTGATCGCAGTTTCAATAAATTTGGAAAAAGCCCGCCAAAACACCAGAAATGTAGCGCAAGCGTACAGATATTTGGCACCACTTTTAAATTTGATGCGACGTAATCAAGCATCAGCGGAAAAAAATTGGCATCGCCAAAAAATATTTTCGCCGTTCTAGTGTGTTATATGAACAACGGAGACTATCACAAAAATCCTCAATGTTTCTGGAATACAGAAAGGGGGTCTAAATTAGGGGAGAAACTGCCTGCAAATGCGGGTCGTCTGGAGGCCGATACCGGTGGATTTGAGCGATCGTGTGATTATCGATCGTCACGCTCGCTGAAAATTGAAAACAAATCAATTTTGAACGATTACTTCTAGGCAGAAGCTTGCCTTGTGCCGAAAAATCCCTGTCAACCGAGGGCTAGGTTACCAAAAATATAATCGTACTAGTTTCTCTCGCTTGTTTTTCGCAACATGTATGTGATACAAAGCATGTAAATCAACCTTTTGGGAGAACTTTTGTCCCCACTTCCAGAACTTTTTGCAATTTTCAGGGGTCAAATTTTTGCGTTGGTGCCTCTTCAAATTCGACCTTTAAATCCAGAGTCGAATTTTACCGCATTTGCGTCAAATTTGACCACTTTTTAACCATTAATTTAATTCGACCTGGCAGGAACATGACCTCTTACCTAGGCCTAAAATGCTCAATAGCTTTTACATCAAAAGAAAATAGAAACCGATTTCAATGGTGCCAGGGAGATACATTAAAAAATCAACAGCAGGTGGAAGAATTCCAATTAATTGTATCTTAATAATTATCTTATTAGATTGAACAACTGTGTTAATTTCTGCTTAATACTACAACAGTTTTCCTGTATCGGCTGCTTTTTAGAAAGGCCCAAACACAAATTCGTTGGGAATATCTTCAAAAGATGAAGTTTTATCGTACCCTGTACAAGACTTTACGTTGAAAACGATGCTCTAGTTCACCCCTCCGCAGCATAACATGAATCACCATCTGGACCGCCCTTTCTGAGTGTTTCTACGAAGCAACATTAATTATCATAATTTATGATAATCTTTGCGTCATCTTTCTTAAACATGCGCTTAGAGTGTTTTATCAACAGAAAGGAAATTAAAATGTATCTGATTTGAAAAACAGGCTCCACTACACTATTGGCATTTAAAAATAACAAAGTCTTGGACAACTATTTTTTCACCAGAACATATGTCAATTGTATGTTAACAAAATTCGACATCAGTTTACATGATGTCAAGATAAGTCTAATTTTAAAGGAAAACACACAACATTACTGATTCCCAAGGTTTGATAACAGAGGATTTAGTTCAAGTCCCTTGGAAAATTCTGTATTTTCAAATACAGAAAAAACAGATGAAGACAAACATAGATTGGCTCTCTGAATGGTATGAGCCAGAGATATTGACAGTATTGAAAATAGCCCATACCTGACGAACAAAATCTTGAATGATACGCTGCTCAGACACCTAGGAAAACAATAAATTTCAGCAATAAAAGCGATATCGATACAATAATAAAACTTTACGCAATAACTGTGAAATTTAATTTTGACGTCACTAGGGCAGGGAAATTTGTAATAGAATAAGGCCAATCTCAAGTTCTGTTAAGGTTTGTTGCCAAATAAAGGTGCTTGTTTCACGCAGATGTTTGTTATCATTGTTGAACCCAACATAACGATGTCACCCAAAAGAAACAAATTACCTGGGACAAGATAACTAATTAAAAGTGTTTGCAAGCAGCATACGGTAAATTAATTTTTTTCTACTCTTGGAATCAATAAAGCACAAAACTTTAAAAAGTGCAAACAAATCTAAAATTGAGAAAATTTACTGCTAAATTCATTATTTTATTACGTTGATGGTTTTATTGGGTCATTTATTACGCTGATTTGATTTTTCAAAATCATCGCTGTTGACTTTGTTAAAACGCTATCAGTACCGTTGCGAACGTACTAACTTATAGCATAGAAGTGTTTCTGCCAAGCAGCATCAGATGCGAACAGATGTTACAAGGAACTGTTCAATATCATTATTTTATCAAACACCACGATGTCATCCGAAAGAATAAAATTACCTGTGAGCCAATAGCAAAACGCCTTTTAAGCTGTTGCTCGATCCTCCTTACTTCTTCGACGTCCTCTTCAGGAGTGAGTCCTTCAGCACCGGAGAGGCTTCCCGATCTGGCAGCCTCAAGTGTTGATACTTGGAACAGTCTCAGTGCCTCATCAACGTGTGCGTCAGTTGCAAATGGAAGTAGCTGCATCTTGGCAAGTGACTCTGATATCCTGATAATTGCTTCAAGTTGTCTACAAAATATTGTCTTCGAGTTATTTCACTGGAACCTCTCCGAAATTAGACCCAAACAGTAGTTATAAACAAGCAGTAGGAAAAACAGAACCAATGAGTGAGTGAAAAATAAATTCAAACAACCACGGCTCCTTACATAATCAGAGCATTACGTTTGAAGTTTAAAGGAGCTTAAAGGAATGCAAACATTACAAGTAGGCTTAAAATCTGAGTGGACATAATACCCGATGCTTGATCTGAAGTTTTGCATACCATTGGTAAGGTACAAGTTGTTCTAGGGTAGAGCAGTGACTTTGCTAGCTAGTTCTACACAAATCATCGGATAATCTGCTATCAGTTGTATAGCTTAATCAACAGAGATGCTCTGTAGCTGCTTAGGTAACCTTGTCAACCCTCAACCCTACACAACAACCTCTCAGTAAAGGCATCACTTCGATACCCCTGTGGGTGTATATTTCTTGTATTGTCGATTGACAGTTGAAGAAAGAAATTAGCTAAACAGCCAATTAAACAACTTTTAAGGATACATGATAAAAGGTAAGCCTGCTTATTCCTACCAAATACGAATCATTAAACAAAATGTAAAACAATCCTTGCCATAAATACCTTTTAAGGTATGTTGAATGCAAGGATGAAAAGACAGAATTCTCGATACTTACCGGACAGTAATTGGAATGCTACTTCTCTTGTTTGATTCCCTCTCTGCGTCGCGAGTTCCGCTTCTCATCAACACGTACCGGTTCTTTAATTTTTCAGCAGCAGTCTCAGACAACCTGGGACCACATTTCCTGGAAGCAACGCCACAACGGGCCCGGAATTAGGCCTGGCAGGCGTACAGGTTCAAGCCAAAAGCCTTGAGATGACAGGTAAAACTGATATAGGGCGATAGTTAGACTTATCAGTTTTGTCCCCTTCTATAAAAACTGGGGTAACTCTGGCCAATTTCCATGAATCTGGAAAAATGTTAGTTTCAAGTGATGTATTGAACAAACAGGCCAAAGCGTTCTCAATATGAGGTAAGGCCAGTTTTAGAAAATGGCAGGAGATATTGTCATTCTCAAAGCCCCTTCAAGACTTGGTTTTGGAAACTTTAAATCAAAGAATTAATATAAAAAAGATCACCAGGCTTGTCGCATAAACGGCAGTAACGCAACTCGATTTGAAGGTCACTTTTCTGCTGCGTTGAATTGAATTGATCAAAAATGTGTTCCACATAGTAGCAGCAGTTTAAATAGTAATTAACCAACAGTGTATGCGTTGAATAAATTGTCAGTTGTTTGAACCCTTTTTGTATGAAGTCCACATTCCCTGAGATAGTTTTTCTTCCAAGGGATGCCTTTTTACAAAGAGATATATCAAGACTTTAAACTTTTCGTGCCTGGGCAACCGTAAACTTGCATCGCATTGTGCTGAAACAAGGCGATCAAATTTATTGCAAACGTTCAATTTTTATTGTTCGGAAATATAGTTCTATCACATGTATCCGGGAAGTTTTTTTCCCGCAACTATTTCTTTTCGGGTACGAAAATTTTCGCGTCCACACGGAGCGTATTCGAATCGTTTTCAGGCGTCTACACGTATCCACTTGTATCCGGAAATTGTCTGATTCGCTCTAGTGCCCAGTTCTTTTGCGGAAGATAATCCTTAAGTGAGCATGCGCATGACTAATATTTTCGCGCCATCCTTTTGCGTCCTTGTCCCACCATGCGCCTGTCCTTCCAGGTCGCGTCCAGAATCGCCTTCGTCGATGTTTTCCTCTTTTCTTGACTTTTTGGAGTTCAGTACTCATAGAAAGGAACTTCAATACATTATGTCTATCTCGTACGTATTTGTTTTGTAAATTCATCACAGCTGCATTTATCTGAACGCATGATATTAAACTAGAAATCAAGGCAACTAGCACTACAATCTTTCTGTACTCCATGTTTGTTTGTACTAGCAGTGAGGAACTGGAACCCAGAAAATGACGTCGTGTATTCGAAAATTTTCGGATACAATCGTCCACACGTATTCGTATTTGTATCGGATCAAAAAGTGTCCACTCTGAAGACCGTTTCCAAAAATTTCCGGATACGGCCATAAAATACGCTGCATACGTGTGGACGCAGGAAGTATTCGTAGAAAAAAAAATTTGCGTTTGCGTTTTCACGAATTTCCAGATACGTGTGGACAGGGCCGGCATTCTTTTCCAAAACCGATGTTAGTTACAACCTTTTCTCGCCATAAAAATTCACAAGAACCGTCATAAACTTGATCGCAGTTTCAATAAATTTGGAAAATGCCCGCCAAAACACCAGAAATGTAGCGCGAGCGTACAGATATTTGGCACCACTTTTAAATTTGATGCGACGTAATCAAGCATCAACGGAAAAAAATTTCCATCGCCAAAAAATATTTTCGCCGTTCTAGTGTGTTATATGAACAACAGAGACTATCACAAAAATCCTCAATGTTTCTGGAATACAGAAAGGGGGTCTAAATTAGGGGAGAAACTGCCTGCAAATGCGGGTCGTCTGGAGGCCGATACCGGTGGATTTGAGCGATCGTGTGATTATCGATCGTCACGCTCACTGGAAATTGAAAACAAATCACTTTTGAACGATTACTTCTAGGCAGAAGCTTGCCTTGTGCCGAAAAATCCCTGTCAACCGAGGGCTAGGTTACCAAAAATATAATCGTACTAGTTTCTCTCGCTTGTTTTTCGCAACATGTATGTGATACAAAGCATGTAAATCAACCTTTTGGGAGAACTTTTGTCCCCACTTCCAGAATCTTTTTGCAATTTTCAGGGGTCAAATCTTTGCGTTGGTGCCTCTTCAAATTCGACCTTTAAATCCAGAGTCGAATTTTACCGCATTTGCGTCAAATTTGACCACTTTTTAACCATTAATTTAATTCGACCTGGCAGAAACATGACCTCTTACCTAGGCCTAAAATGCTCAATAGCTTCTACATCAAAAGAAAATAGAAACCGATTTCAATGGTGCCAGGGAGATACATTAAAAAATCAACAGCAGGTGGAAGAATTCCAATTAATTGTATCTTAATAATTATCTTATTAGATTGAACAACTGTGTTAATTTCTGCTTAATACTACAACAGTTTTCCTGTATCGGCTGCTTTTTAGAAAGGTCCAACCACAAATTCGTTGGGAATATCTTCAAAAGATGAAGTTTTATCGTACCCTGTACAAGACTTTACGTTGAAAACGATGCTCTAGTTCACCCCTCCGCAGCATAACATGAATCACCATCTGGACTGCCCTTTCTGAGTGTTTCTACGAAGCAACATTAATTATCATAATTTATGATAATCTTTGCGTCATCTTTCTTAAACATGCGCTTAGAGTGTTTTATCAACAGAAATGAAATTAAAATGTATCTGATTTGAAAAACAGGCTCCACTACACTATTGGCATTTAAAAATAAGAAAGACTTGGACAACTATTTTTTCACCAGAACATATGTCAATTGTATGTTAACAAAATTCGACATCAGTTTACATGATGTCAAGATAAGTCTAATTTTAAAGGAAAACACACAACATTACTGATTCCCAAGGTTTGATAACAGAGGATTTAGTTCAAGTCCCTTGGAAAATTCTGTATTTTCAAATACAGAAAAAACAGATGAAGACAAACATAGATTGGCTCTCTGAATGGTATGAGCCAGAGATATTGACAGTATTGAAAATAGCCCATACCTGACGAACAAAATCTTGAATGATACGCTGCTCAGACACCTAGGAAAACAATAAAATTTCAGCAATAAAAGCGATATCGATACAATAATAAAACTTCACACAATAACTGTGAAATTGAATTTTGACGTCACTAGGGCAGGGAAATTTGTAATAGAATAAGGCCAATCTCAAGTTCTGTTAAGGTTTGTTGCCAAATAAAGGTGCTTGTTTCACGCAGATGTTTGTTATCATTGTTGAACCCAACATAACGATGTCACCCAAAAAGAAACAAATTACCTGGGACAAGATAACTAATTAAAAGTGTTTGCAAGCAGCATACGGTAAATTAATTATTTTCTACTCTTGGCATCAATAAAGCACAAAACTTTAAAAAGGGCAAACAAATCTAAAATTGAGAAAATTTATTGCTAAATTCATTATTTTATTACGTTGATGGTTTTATTGGGTCATTTATTACCCTGATTTGATTTTTCAAAATCATTGCTGTTGACTTTGTTAAAACGCTATCAGTATCGTTGCGAACGAGCTAACTTATAGCATAGCAGTGTTTCTGCCAAGCAGCATCAGATGCTAACAGATGTTACAAGGAACTGTTTTATATCATTATTTTATCAAACACCGCGATGTCATCCGAAAGAATAAAATTACCTGTGAGCCAATAGCAAAACGCCTTTTAAGCTGTTGCTCGATCCTCCTTACTTCTTCGACGTCCTCTTCAGGAGTGAGTCCTTCAGCACCGGAGAGGCTTCCCGATCTGGCAGCCTCAAGTGTTGATACTTGGAACAGTCTCAGTGCCTCGTCAACGTGTGCGTCAGTTGCAAATGGAAGTAGCTGCATCTTGGCAAGTGACTCTGATATCCTGATAATTGCTTCAAGTTGTCTACAAAATATTGTCTTCGAGTTATTTCACTGGAACCTCTCCGAAATTAGACCCAAACAGTAGTTATAAACAAGCAGTAGGAAAAACAGAACCAATGAGTGAGTGAAAAATAAATTCAAACAACCACGGCTCCTTACATAATCAGAGCATTAAGTTTGAAGTTTAAAGGAGTTTAAAAGAATGCAAATATTACAAGTAGGCTTAAAATCTGAGTGGACATAATACCCGATGCTTGATCTGAAGTTTTGCATACCATTGGTAAGGTACAAGTTGTTCTAGGGTAGAGCAGTGACTTTGCTAGCTAGTTCTACACAAATCATCGGATAATCTGCTATCGGTTGTATAGCTTAATCAACAGAGATGCTCTGTAGCTGCTTATGTAACCTTGTCAACCCTCAACCCTACACAACAACCTCTCAGTAAAGGCATCACTTCGATACCCCAGTGGGTGTATATTTCTTGTATTGTCGATTGACAGTTGAAGAAAGAAATTAGCTAAACAGCCAATTAAACAACTTTTAAGGATACATGATAAAAGTAAGCCTGCTTATTCCTACCAAATACGAATCATTAAACAAAATGTAAAACAATCCTTGCCATAAATACCTTCTAAGGTATGTTGAATGCAAGGACAAAAAGACAGAATTCTCGATACTTACCGGACAGTAATTGGAATGCTACTTCTCTTGTTTGATTCCCTCTCTGCGTCGCGAGTTCCGCTTCTCATCAACACGTACCGGTTCTTTAATTTTTCAGCAGCAGTCTCAGACAACCTGGGACCACATTTCCTGGAAGCAACGCCACAACGGGCCCGGAATTAGGCTTGGCAGGGGTACAGGTTTTTACTAAAATAAGCCTTTGCACTTGCACAGAACAATAAACGAGTTTTATTACAAATCTCCACCTTTGCAAATTTGCTGATCAAAATCATAAAAAATCTAGTTGTTTCAACAGAAGAACTGTACAAGCGATGGCGATATAGAAAAATAGAGTATAGTGGTCCATCAAGATTTCTTGTGGAAAGAGACTAAAGAGGTCTGCTTTGGTATTACAAAGAGTCTTCTCTGTGGGACTAATTGCATTCATAATTTTTGTGGGACGGGGTGTAATCGTATTCATAATCTCTATGAAACTAGGGGTAATCGTATTCAAAAATTTTCACACAGAAATCTAAACGATGCCAAGCCAAATAAAGATCTCGCAAACAAAACATCCTTTCAGCTGACACATTTAGCAGCAAGAGACTGTTGAATATATCCACAAAACTTTTCATGTCAGCCTTCTTATCAGCAAATATCTTCAACTTACCTTAAAAAGGTATGTAGTATGTAAAGAGGCCATGATGTTCGGCAAGATGAGTAGTCGCCTGAATTTCAGGAACAAACAAAGATAGCCCAGCCTGCCTTTTCAGGCGCAAAAAACCCTGACTCAAAAGCATGGAGATGTTATAAAGCAACTTACGTTCTACAGTAATCGATATACTTCTTTAAAAATTCTAGCTCCAGTTCGCCTTCGACTGCTGCCTTTTGAGTAGCGTTCAAATGCACTTGCATCACATGCTTGGCAAGACGCTGAAATCAAAATCCAATAAACGGCTTTATCACTAACCATTAAATTACTAAGTGATATAGCATGGCCAGAGAATTAGTTAGTTCAATGTTATTTGTATATTACGAGATATTTGTATATGTACATTACATTTCTATCAATGCTATAAGCTTGAATATCTTCTATCTTTAGTGTACAAAGGATCTGGACATGATATCGATTCAGGGCTACTTTAAAATTATAACTAAGTTTTAACAGCAACAAGAAAAGAAAAATAGAGAAAGGAGATATTAAAATTGATAAAAGGGCACGTATTGCTATTAGCAGAAGGGCATTTATTTGATAAAATATTAGAAGAGCAGGTATGCTAATAAACCTTCGCAAAATACTCTTTCATCAAGCGAGTTAAAATCTCTTTGCCACAAAAGTGACATGTCTTTCTAAGCGTACTACATCATGCTTAAATTACGTCGCTAACAGTTTTGTATCTAATTCCAAGCTTTGTCAGGTATTGTAAATAATTTTTAAAGAAACGTTGTTAGACAACTTGTAATAAGGTTAAGGGTCATCTCGGCCTATGTATCTATATTAAAATAAAATAGAAGTTTGAGGGGAATTTCTTAAAAGTGGAGAAATAATTTACCATATCTTTGGCTTTGTCGTGCTCATCCTTTACGATAAATATTGTGTCAAACCTTGATAAGATGGTTGGCATAAAGTCGATATTCTGAAAAAAAGGGAAATCCAATCAAGATCGAGTCTGAAAAACTCCGATAGGCTTTTCACTATATTTAAGAAATCTCTAGATTACTGATACCTTATGATATGAGGCAATCTGTCATATTTCAAGAGTAAAACAAAAGTACAATACCTGCTCTCCTTTGGTCTCATCCCATCTTCCGTATACTGAATTGGCGGCAGCAAGAACAGAGCATCTTGAATTCAGGGTAGTGGTAATTCCGGCCTATAGTCAAAATTTGGGCAATTTGTTTCAATGCTTAAAACAAACTTTGTTACAGGTTCATTTTGCACCAAAATCAAATTCAGTAGGCTGACTAAACATTTTCCCATTCAGTCAACATCTGACATAGCTCTGTCTTCCAGAAAGGGTACGTAAAACCCACGGGGACACTCAATTTTTTTAACAAACAATCACGGGTCATTCTGATATTTTTGGATCTAGCTATAGATCTTGCCAAGTGCATTTTTTCTGGGTTGGGTTGTTTGCCCGGCAAAAATTGAGAGGTATTTTTATGCGCCGTCAAACTTTGCCCTACTAACCCCCGTGTGATTAAAGACATCTATATATGTTATCTTAGCAGGAGGAAGCTTTTTCCATTCCTCAAATCCCTATGTTTAATCTATGTTTAATCCAATTTGATGAGATTTTGCCACAAACTTAACTTATGATAGATTGAAAACCTACATGGGTAGCTCCTGCAAAAGTCTCACTGCCATACAATGGCTAAACCACTGCAAAGCACAACAACCTTTAGTGGCTGTGTGACCACTGCAGCATTGAAAATGGAACAGAGACAAACCTGAAGATTAATTATCATGTTGCTTGCATTTGGGGGGGGGGGGCTGTGAAAACTGAAGCTGCAAAATGGCATAACTGCTAGAAGAGAACTAACATACAGCTTCAAAAATGCTAGTCAGAGGCCAAAATCCAGAAGAAATTATTTATACACAAAAGCTGAGGTGATAAACCTTTATGATTGAACCATAACTGCTGGTAGATAGATCGACAATGTATTTACTCGTAAATATGTATGGACACAAAACTTCTTCGTGGTTGTAACTTAATCAGGTAATACCTGTTATTTTTATAGAAACACCTTTAAATACTCCCCATCTGTTCAGCTTTTCGCAAATGAAGTAAACCAAATACGACCTTAGAACACCGAAGGTCACCATGGACACTTTAAAAAATCTCCAATCAAATAAGTAAAGGAGAACTATACAAGAAAAACTTACCTTTGCGATAGAAATCGTTTGCTGTTCCATAGCTTCATGAATGGCAACTCTGTCATCTTCTCTCATCTAGAAGAAACAGATCTAAATTTAACGCATTTAAATACGAAAATCACAATGAATATCACCAAATAGAAAATTTACTGAATTTTCTGTTGAATTGTTGTTCATCATGCAGTCTAAACTGCGAAATATGTGTATGATTTTTACTGGCAATTGATTCTTCTCTCACCACAACGTCATCTTAATTATTGGCAATAAACAGCATACTTTAAGTATCTCCGTTCCTGAGTACGAATTTTTATGCGTAAGTTGAGAGCTGCATGTTTAAGCAACTCTCCTCTTCCCATTTTTTGTCGGCTTTGTAAATAGCAAGGCAGTTTTGCCAGCCCTGTGAAAAGCTGGTACTTGCTTTTGACCACAGGTACTTGCTTGCTACATTTAAACTGTTTTGTGTCCAACAAATAGGGACTGACATCCTCAAACCTATCCGTCATCATATGTCTATCCATGGACCGCGGAGCATATTACAGACTGAGGGGGCTAAAACCTTTTGCGGAGAGGGGGGAGACTAAACGTGCTAATAACCAAGAGCAAGGCTACTTTTTGTATGGCTTTAAGTACATTTTGAACTTATTTGGGGGGGGCAAATAATCTCCCTCAGCCCCCCTCGCTTTGTGGTAGAGTTATTATGAAAAGGCAGTTTCAACGCTTTTATATCTAAATAGTAGCACACTGGGCATGCGTAAGTTATAGTAATTTTAAACACGTAAGCAGCGACTAAATCCTAATACAGTTTCCGCTGTCGCTGTGTATATATATCTTTCAAACTGCATTTTGCTCAGATGTGGTACTGTAAAAACAACAATGAAATTTTTGCCAATGGCAGATGGAAATACCTTATCAAATTCGTCAATGCACACAACACCACCATCAGCTAAGACCATTGCTCCTCCTTCCATAATGAAATTCCTAGAAACAGGATCCCTGCTTACTGAAGCCGTTAACCCTGCAGCACTGCTTCCTTTTCCGGATGTGTAAACTGCAATAGGAGCCACTTTTTCAACAAATTTTAGAAGCTGACTTTTAGCCGTCCCAGGATCACCAAGAAGTAGGACATTGATGTCACCACGACGTGTAAGTCCATCTGGAAGCCTAAAAATTGAAGGATTAAGCACTTATTTCCCCAAAAGCAAACGTGATAATGCCTGGCAAATGAGCTTGACACACTTAATGACTAGTCTTTATTTTCATATTTCTCTGTCATATTTCCCGAAATGACACTTCTGCACACGTTAACAATGGAAACAGCTAAAGCTAAACAATCCACAAATATAAATATTGAGACGGAAATTGCAAGACACATTGCTTTCAATAAACATGCTTGTAAAATGAAACATGATTTATTTCTAACTTTTGTTCAAGACAACAAATCGCAAGAAATAGAGTCCCATTCAACTAAGACTATCAAGGAAAACAGCATTACCTTTTTCTTGAGCCACCAAACAATAAGCAAGCAATTGCTTTTTTAATATCAATACTTCCGAATATAGATGGTGCAATGCTCTTTGCAATAACGTCGTGAACATCCTGTGTTGCAGCAAGCCTTCTAAAGTCTTCTTCTTCAGTAGGTGTGAATGGCGCTTTAACTGCAGCCCTTCCTCCGCCCCCAGTTTCTAACTGAATTCCAAGAACTCGAATATAGGGTTTCCTAATTCCTATACCACTTTCCTCTCGACCCTGAAATATATCAAAATGAATGAAAGATCAGTACCTTGTTAGGCAAGACAGTTGTGAATAACCATTCCCAAAGCGAAATTAAAACAACACACTTAATCATGTTGCTCTTGGCTATTTGTCATAATGGAAACCCTGTTAGCCTTCATACAAATCCCAATTGATAATTTGCTCTGCAGTAGGGATGCTGAAACCAGGGGTGCGCCTGAGGCACATGTCCCCTAAGAGTTAACCCCTACAAAAAAGTGCTTCTCCAACTTTGAAATGATCCTAACGTCCCAGGTATGTGGTACCTGCCTATGTGAATAGAACTCAATGGGAGTTTCATTTGACAATTGAAAATCCAGTGGTGTAACTGACAGGAGATGTAGGTGGTGTGGCATATCCCTAGTGCAGACCTATTACTTGGTGATAGGGTAAACTGTGAGATTATTGTCTTTATATATTTTTGAAATTTTTCTTTCTATAACCTTCCACCAACCTAGTTTGAAGGTCAAGGTACCAAAATATAAATATCCTTTTGAAATAAACCATTAAAACATTTAAGGACTTCTACAAGAAATCATAGCAATGGGAAGCATACATCGATATGAAAATTACTCTGCTTCAAATATCATTTACCACATATATCAATGTCTACCTGGAGCAACAGTAAACACAGCAAATCTCTGTTTACATAAACATCAGTTTACAACATGGTCATGAAACAAAAGTAAAACTACTCACTCTAGATGACTTCTGGAACACTTTCTTGATTGAATAAATTCCAATGATTGTCACTCTATTTCCTGGAACCACTTTTTCAGTCAAATACCTAACAGCAAAGAAAATATATTTGAAAATGAAATACACTAAAGCCATGAATACATGTATTGTTAGAGATTCAATGACTTGCATATAACAAAGTTTAGAGTTTTATTGAAAGAAATATATGATCATTGAAGTTGAATTCTTTATTGGGCATGGAGGACAAAAATAAGCGTACAATCACTTCAGGTTCCTGTACACACTTGCATTTTTTGGTCTGCTCAAGAAAACTGGCTCGATAATGTTAAAGAAAATTTGTTTTCAGAAATTGTATGAAAGCCATACCTGTCACAATAAAGCTGCACGTGTCTTGGCATTTCTCCATTTGGCACTGCATCCGGGGATTCTTGTAGCTTAAGCACCTGTGTTGTTGCATTAAAAGATACAGTGTTTGATATCATTACACAAAATCCAACCTTACAGAATTAATAAAGATAAGATATATACTTTGAGTCTTGCTCATTCACAATGTTAATAGGTGGCTAAGATATCAAATAAAATGACTTTTTCTTTTAAATTACTCATGATAAACCAATGTAACAATGATAAATCTATTACTGTATTGAAATAACAATGTTAACCAGGTACTACAAAAACAGGCTTTCGTCGGAAAGACGTGCGATCGCACACGCGAAAAAGAAAATTTTGAAATAATCATTGGACTAGTCTACAGTGGAATCCCAATAATATGAAACCAGGCTATAACTAATTTTCCGGTATAGCAAAAATATACCTGGCCCCTTCGATTCTGCCAAACCTCTTACAAATTCCCTCGGATCCCTTATATAACGGATCCTCTTACGAATCCCGTTTATAACGAACTCTCATTTTTATGAACTGAATTGTATGTCCCTTCATCATGATTTTCCTTGATATGACAAATGTTTTTGTAAATTTTCACCGTTATTTTGGCCTACTTTTTCCCTTGTGTATATTTATCACCTTTTCTCAGGGGAATAATTATTTTCATCAATAAAACAGACATTGGCAAACATGCACTTTATATGATGCAAAAAATGGAAAAGAGATTTGTGCAAAAGTTGACACCTTTACAAGGCTTTATGGCATTTCAATGAAAAAATCCAAACACAAAAGACTATAACAGACATTTTCATCTCCGAATTTTCTAAGGAACATTAAGTGTTGTTAACAAGATTTTCATTTTTGATTGCTAATTTAGCAAAAGTAGCAACCTTGCCAATTATGCAAGAAAAAGTAGCAAATTTGCGGATTTTGCTACCCATAGAAAGCCCCCTCTTCAGACTTCGCTTTGCTTTAAATCTAGATCTGATTAAAGTTTTATTCCCAGTTTGATTAAAGAAGCAACCAGGTTCAACTCCTTACCTGAAAATCCACACATCTGCATTTGTCAGGAAGTATAAAGAACGGATCAACTGGACAAGGTGGCTTGCCAGCTTGCTCTGACGGGCAACTTCTTGGCAAGGCATAGCCTTCCAGCCCTGGTTTCAAAGGAATATCTGGAATGGTATTTCTGCAGGAACGGCATTGCACAGTGATTCTTGTAGCTTTAACTCTAATTGCAGAGGCACTGATGATGATCCCAGGAATTTTTACCAATTTTGAAACATGATCACTCTGTTGTAAAAAGAAACATGATCACTTAGATTACGTTTTTTCAAAACCATGGGTGGTTTATTGATTTCTCAAAATGGCAATGGATGAAACTTTGCCTTTTAATAGAAGGTAGACATTTGCAGTGAATTGTTTTGAGTGAGGAATTGAAGTGAATCTTATCCGCACAACATTTTCAATCCTTGGGTAAAAATCTGATTTTTGAGGTAATTTTTTGATGCCATATTGCAAAAAATGCAAAATACAACCATTCACAATGGCATAACTTACAAAAATTTCTTAATGGCATAATGGCATAACTTACAAAAATACCTTCAGAGTCCTGATACCAATTGGATTTGCATTTGACTTCAGTGTTATTTGAATGTCTTGCACATCTTCCTCTCCGACAGGACGTGGCCTGGTAATTTCATCAGCCATCTCTTTTGCTGCAGCCTCAAACTTAAAAGAAGCATAAAGGGTAGAATCAATTCTCTACATGAAACTTTTTCCTGTCAACAAAATGACCAGAACTATCAACTGGAAAAGCATGCACAAATACCTTATTGCAACCTACAAATAAAGGTTTTCTCCAGTTATACTCAAAACTATTCTTAAATTCGTGAAAATTCAAATTCTCTAACAATTTAGATTTACATTTCACCTAAACATGCATGATACAGAAGGTAGGGCAAATGGCACAATAAAAGTCCATTTAAGGTTACAGTAAACGTTTTCTGGATGAAAACATCAATTTTTCGTATATTTTCATATTTTAGTCGCCCAATTTTCAAGGCAAACAATGATACCATGTTTGAAACTAGCAGAAATTTTGAGAATGGAAAAAATTTCATGTAAACAAAGATTACCATAATTTTTTATCAAAACTTTTAGTTGAGGTCTGAAAATCTCTTGACCTGTTACACCGATCATCGTTACATCAGTACATATTTACATCGTTACATTTCGGATGTGGCTGCATGTCGCATTTACAATATCACATGGCACATCCCATGTACGGCTCAGTTTATTTGAACAGGCTTATTGATCTTAAAGCTTCAAGTGACTTGACTTAGATTACACTGTGGTTTAAGAGTATACCTTACAAGTGTGATCAGTAAAATCCCGTTTTCTACGGACTTACAATTCCTCTACACACAGGTCCTTACCAATGGAATGTATTCAGCTGGACTTTTCATCAGCTTATCAGCAAGAAGTTCATCATAACTTGACAGATCATTTAGGTCAATATCCAGGTAGTATTCCCCAAGATTGTAGTGCTGTTTTAACTGATCCCTTAAAAGAAAATGTTCTGCTTCAATAAGGAAGGCACTTAATCACAATCATATCATAACTTCCAGCATCTGAGATTTTGCAATCTGATAAGTGAAAATGGCATTTTTAAAGGTCTAAATAAATAATAAATGATAGAAGACAGGTCATTACATTTAAAAAACAAGGAAAGCCATGAAAAGATTAGGCATTTGAATTGAAACATGTTTGTTTATCCTATAAAAAAAATTTACATTGTAAAACTAGGGTTAGAGTTGTGATCAAATGTCAGTCAAGCATGGTAAAACATATTATGCTGTTCATGCTAAATGCAAAAATCGTTTTACAGACAGATTCCATAAGTAATCAGAACCAGAATTCAAGTGTCATTGTCAGCAGGCAACTTTTTATCCTAGTGCCATCTCCAGAGATAAGTCTTTTCCAGTGCTTTAAACAACATTTGAGATGCTACTGGTGACCCTCTGGGGGCCTGTACAGTGATAAATGGGCTTTGGAATAAAAAGAAGAGCCCCTGAATGCAAGTGAATGGTTGGGCCTATGATGAAATTGTACCCAAGCATCAATTGCAGTCCACCACTGCATAACAGGTCTCAACAATTACTAACTAGGAATTTAAATAGCTAAAATGTCCAAGTTGAATTACATGTTTGTTAAAAGTAATTAATTGAATTCTATTGTGCTTTGGTTGCTTACAACCTTACAGAACCTTTTCTTTCTTTACACGACCACAATCAATTTGAGAAACCTAAGAAACATTTATCCCATTATGGAAGAATAAGATAACTTGCATATTATATATTGATGTGACCTGTGCCTCTTTAAATCAATGAAGAATTTAATGCGAACACAGGCTATTCCTAATTCTTCCGATTTTAAAGGAGAACTGACACGCAAAAATAACTTTGGCTTATTCGATGCAAAATTTGTTGCTGACTTCAAATCTGGAAAAAGTTTTCTTCTAAGATTCGCCCTTTTTCTGATATTTGCACTTTTATCCGTCAAATACGTCACAGCCAGGACTCGGGAATTTTCCGAAGCGGAAACAGGATTATCGCCAGGAGTTGTTAAAATTATCGGTTGACGTCACAAGTGACATGTTAACAATGCCGTTGTAAAGGCTTTCACCGCAACGGTGAAGGTACAAATGAAGTTTCGTGTTTTATTAAAAATAGTCCGCGTTGAAAAGACAAAAAATTGTCAGGCATTTCATTTATAAGTATAAAGAAACTAAAAAATCCTAGCTACATGTCTGCTAGGACGCTAATATCCACATGAAATTTATTTTTATGCCATGATATCTTCGAACCAGCATGCTTTGAAACATTGAAAGAGCCTCTAAGCTTGTGAAAAAAAGGAGTCGACTTTGTTTGAAAACTGATGCCGTTTCTTCAAAGTTTTTATTTTTATAATTACAAATAAAATCGCAAGATGAGGGGACGGGGGGAGGGGGGTTGAAGCAATAGCCAAAAGACAAACGAAATCTAGTGGAGACAGCGGTAAAAGCGATCCTGCAACCTGCTTTGGGTGCAGAAATATGAATTCAAGAAAAAACCTTGGTTGCTGGGAGCTGCGAGTGTGACTAAATAATAATTTCACTGAACTTGATTATTGTAACAGAGGTTGAGATACTAGGGAATAACCTGGTCTTGCAAAAAGACCATCCCCCACCCAAGTCAAAATTGCTTGCAAAAGAAGATAATGCGCCAGTTGATATTCCTATGACAGCTAAACAGCATTTTTTTCGACTAAGATAAGAAATAAAGTTCTTTGACAAAGAGCTAAGAGCCTATTCCGTAAATCCAGATTTTTCGACTGCCAGGTAACTTATCAGTTCCCGAAACCCTTCACGCCCAGTGAAAATGGCATATAATCCGCACAAGTCGACTTTTAACCCGCCTTTACTATTTAATATCACTATACAATTAACGCGTTTGAAACATTGAAAAACAATCATGGAATGTTATATTAACAATGAATAACTTGCAGTTCCGTTTAGGGCATCATAGGCATTTCAGCGAATTAGGCCTTACAGACCAAGCAGCCTGGACAAAGACCCCTCAATCTGAAATGAAATTCTAGTTTTAGGATACCTGATCTCATTTAGATTGTAGCAATAGCATTTTTTTAATAAAAATTCCATATCAGTTTGTAATTCCAGTCTGTACTTTGTTCATAACATCGTCACTGTTGAGCCATGGGACGACTGTCTGCCCAAGCGGCGGCGCTGGTTGGTAGCAAAAACTCAGACGGCTGAAACTCTCCATTTGTTTCGAAATCAGTGTAATAAAACTCGGATTCAGAGTCCCGAACCATTGAAAAAGTCAATTATGTGTCAAAAATGCAAAATTAGCTCCTTTCAAATGCACAAAATAAAGATTTGTCCGCAGCATTTTCTTAAAGGTTTCTATAGAGAAACACAATACGTGCTGAGAACATGTCACTTGTGACGTCAAAGATGATCGCTCACTCGGGAAGATTTTCGCCTCGAGTCTCAAGTTGTCGGAATAATTGTCGTTTCTCAACTTAAAACGCCTGTATTTCAAAAACGGTAACTGTGATTTAAAAAATTTTTTCGATCCCGGAATTTGCTTGTCACAAGCTACCGTTTTAGCCAAACTTATTTTTGCTTGTCAGTTCTCCTTTAAGGGAACCAGGCTTTAGCTTGTATGCAGGTTTTAGCAGGCATTGTTTTTAGTCAGGTAGAGAAGCAATGCCCTTTTGTGGGAAATGCCAGAATCTTTCTAAATAAAATCAGTATCACTGGTATTAAATAGAGTGTTGCATTTCCATAAAGGAAATTGAGGGAACTGACCCACAAAAGGATAGAAAGCAGAAAATCCAAAATACTGCCAGCATGCTGTAGGTGTAGGTTTAGAAGCAAGGCCACCCACTATAGCTGCGCAGCTGAAATACCGCAACTCTACCTGGTTGACAAGTTCTAGGCAGGAGGAGTGAAGCAGTGATTGTCAACTTCTATTTCATTAGTTACAACAATAAATTGCATTTTAAAGGCATGCATTATTTTAAGACAGTAACTTGAAAACCATTGTATAACAAATAAATATATTTGAGAATAATAATGTAGTTTGATGTTTATTTTAGTGATAATATTTGCACGTTAAGTATTTTAGTGATAACATGTTTTTCTCTGATAAATAATATGCAAAATGAATATGAAAAATTAGCCCAGAAATGAAAAAATAAAACAAAATGAAACGTGATCTGTACCTGTAGGGGTAAACAAAAGTCCCTTCGTGAAACTGTCGAATAAATTCCTTAAAACGCTTTTGGGTTTGAACACGATTGATTTCTTGATCATCTCCTTGATCCTGTGATGACCCAAAGGGGTCGCTAAAATACACTGGTTGCTCGTCAAATCCAGACATCTCTGTTTTAGAATGGTCTTTGCATCAGTTTGTTAACTTCTGTCTCTTATTTGGCGTGTTTCCTAGACTATTCCGCAATATTGGCGATTTCGGTTTGGATGGGGGACACCATAGAACAGTCATAAACACGTTTCCCGCAAAATGATAATATTTGGCGGGAAAAGATTGATCCCATGGTGCACCGTACGTTTCTAAGAGAGGCTACAAGCAGATGGTAGTTTCTGTAACGTGGAGAATACTAACTGTTGGAAAAGTGGAAGTTTCATTGGCATTTCTCGCTCAAAATGTCCGAGCCACCAGCTAAGAGATGTAAATTGAGCAAAGATGAGAGAAAGAAACAGATTGAGCCTTTGGCAGAAAGTGGATGGGAAATGGTAGAAGGTAGAGATGCAATGAAGAAACAGTTTTTATTCAAAGACTTTAACGAAGCGTTTGGATTCATGAGCAGGATCGCTCTGAAAGCTGAACAAATGAATCATCACCCAGAATGGTTTAATGTTTACAACAAAGTAGACGTCACTTTAAGCACCCACGATTGTGGTGGCCTTTCATCGAATGATGTTGAACTGGCAAACTTTATGAATAAAGTTGAATCTTACTTCAAGTGAAATTGGACATTACTTGAGACGAGAACGCTGTTTTGTAGACTTTATAGTAATTAGACTCTTAGATACATGATACTACTGTATACATGTCTAGCAATATTTATAAGGGCTGTCTTTGACCTGTGAGCATGACATATTTTTGTCTTAAACCATTTTAAAAAAATCTGATTACAGAACAAGGTCTGTTTTCTCTTTAATTCCTTCAACTTAAACAATACACTAAAAATCGTAAAGAAGATGTTTCTCAGTATAATTATTGTCATAAACACACACAACGTTTTACTGACACATTCTTTTTATAATCAAAGATATCCTGCCAATTTTTCACTGCCCCCTTCATATGTATCACTAACATGAAAAGTGGCCCATAAAATCATGGGCTTCAGCCCCCCACAAAACACTTTTGCAAACGCTGCAGCAACCCATGGGACCCAGTAGCAGGGTAAAGTAATTATTAAATATAGTGTAAGTTGTGTGATGTAATCGTAATTTGTTAATGGAATATATTTAAAATAAACAAACCTAACTAAGAATGTTGGAGCTTTGTGTATTAATGAAAAAGTACTCTGAGAAGTAAATGTTCATGACAAATATCAGGCAAATATACGATTTCCATGTATTCAAGTGCTAGTTAAGTAAACAAATGCTTGCAACATTCAATGACTCGAGCTAATTAAGCATTTGACTTGCTCCTTAGGAGCTAATTTGATTATAGGTTGTCATAATTCTTTGATTTATTCAGTTGACATACACATAGCACTCAAAGTACTTAAAAAGAGTCTAATGTAAAGGGCCCCTACGGTTGTAAAGCCGATAGGTTTAGGGTTTTTCCAACTATTCTGTTAACACACTGCAAGCACCGTGGAGCGTTGAGAAAAGTGAGTGGTCTAAAAAAAGTGGGAGGATGCTAAAACCGTATAAAAAGAGGCATTACTGGTAGTTTATTACTTAGTATTTGCCATTTTTGAAAAAGTGGGGGGGGGCTTGAGCCCCCCAGCCCCCCTGTTCCGCGGTGCCTGCACTGGGACTAACATAATACAGATCAGAAAGAGCCCATTGTGCTCTGAGGAGTGTCAGACGAAAAAGCTGTTAGGTAATATGTTGTAAAATGTTTGCTTTTTTCAAAGCCATTTTCAAGTTCTGTATCACCAAAGAATTGTTCACATTTTTGTAAAATAAATAGCTCACAGATAAACTAACAAAGTGATCAAGGAACTTTGTTTTCCAAGAATGACTAACTCTGTTGAGAATTTTTAAATTGAAACTCCTTGAGTGTGCAATTTACTGAGAATGAATGCAGACTGCATGTCAAGTGTAGTGTTGCAATGTACAGTGATGTTCGATGTCAAAACTGTTTCGAGTGTCAACTCGGAAAATTAAAACTGCAAATTATAAAAGTTTCTTAGCTTTTTTCAATTTGGGTAGGATTATTTCTTAACTTTCGAAAAATTGAGCCCACCTTTTCTTATAAAAAACGAGTTTATTTGCCAACAAAGTGAACGAGACAAGCTTCATTTGCTGACAAGTTCGAATATTCACCGAAAAAGCACCCACACATGGCTAAAACTCCTCGTTTTTGAAATAAAGCGCCCAAAATTGCATTTTATAGTAGCTCAGCATCGGCTTGTTCTAAATTTATTCTTAAAATTTCACAAATTTTGAGGCTCGTGTTCTTATAAACTTTTTCTTATAAAAAAAAAGTATTAGCAATTTCATATTTTGATATTGTTCTTTTTATGATCAACAAAATAAAATGGGATCTCTTTGAACTGCTGAAGGTTTTTATATGCTTTAAGTAATGACTTGTGCAGAAACTTTCCTTGACAAAAGAAGTTTCACTTCCAAATACTGGGGCATGTCATCTATAGCGCCACAGGGTACCAACTGCTAGACCTGTTTTTGAGCAAATACTCTTAGTCGTGTAAACAAACCCACACAGGGCCTCCGACGAAGGGGGGCCGGGGGGCTTGCCCCCCCCCCACGTTTTGCAAAACAATAGTTTTTTTCAAATTCTTTTGTTATGTGTGTTAAATTTTCCCTTGGTCCCCCTACTTTTAAACCTTTGTCGGAGCCCATGTCATACTGAATAATTCTGAACAAGACTATACAAAGTGTCTCCTTCAGCTGAAGGGGGAACAAGTAGCCCACGAACAGTGGTTGTGTTTGTATAACTTTAGTAGAGCCTTCTAACAAAGGCACGTGATCAGTCAATGCACAGGTGATGTCACTCTGCAATCGTTTCAAATGATTGTTCGATTCTCGACAATGTACAACTTAAGAGAGTTTCTCAAAAGAAAACAAATGCAACTGTCAACACAACCTGCAAACTTACATTAAAAAAACTTTTGATTGCGGCACTTCTTAAATCTCAAAAAGTTACACTAAAGAAAGGCAAAAACTTTTTTACCGACATTGATATTTTATCGTTTGTAATAATCGACTTAAAAGCCTCTTAGAATCGCCCAATGCAATTAGGAGAAATTAGGTACAATCCATATATCTTTATTGTCATGACATTGGCAACGAAGAGATTGCGAGAAAGGAATTACATAGACGGAGATGGCTACTGTTTCCACGGTAGAAAGCGGGAACGTTAGAGAAACCACTTATTAATAACAATTTCTTAAACTAGAGCTGCCTTCTTCAAATCAATGACTTTCTTTGCACATGAATCCTGCCCAAATACCCAAAGGAGGAGGGTCTTGAATATTTGGAGTTGATAGATAATTCATTTTTCTTAGCTCCTCAAAGCATAACTAACCAAAAAATATATACAGCATTCAAGAAAATTCACTGGGTGGAGCATTTGAAAAGGAAAGCAAAAACTTATGCACTGAAAATAATATTGTAATAAACAAATAGTCCAGCGCAAGAAACTTGTACAAATGTTTTGTTTTTTTGAATCGCGTGGATAGAAATGAAGTTATCGTTGGAGTGTGTAGAAAATAAAGACAGGATGGTTTCTTTACTTCTGGTTTGTTTACATGATAGCTACAGAAAATATTTCTAATGAGTAACAGTTAATGACTAATGGAGAGTTAATATTCATAAAATCAAAAATGTCATAAAAACAAATTAACATTCGCGAGGGACTGAGGATCATGCCTAGGACCAATTATAATCTCATAATTTAACCACCCTTAGGAGTTAGTTTAGCCATGTAGTTACACAGAAGATATGACCATCTTCGAACTTGCAGCTTGACTCTGGGTGTATTGCGTAACTCTTAGAAGAGTTATCAACATACAATACAACCGATTTCTGTGACCAAACGAAAGTTAGACCTTCGCAAGATTCAACACTTGAAATCATCGAGGTTACACGCAGACGACGCTGATTTACAGATTAACTTTGTCATATATACGCTAATAAAACTCGTGCCCGGGATAATTCCCCTTTTATTATCCAAAATAAAAGATTTTCACAAAACTAAAAGCTCGTTAATCAACCGCTATCTGCACAACCTGAAAGTAACAATAATACTGATATCCAGATCAGGTAAGGGAGACCGTATTTTTACACAAGTAAAGTACACGCTTTGTCCAGTTACTGATCTGGTCCCATTCCTGGGGGTCTTTTGACTTTATTCAGCTCTCACTGGAAATGAGAAACGTATCAACGAACTAATCATTCTTTGGGGGTGTATTTTGAAGCACTGTTCCTCGGCTTGATCGTCAGTATCATGGTTAAATGTAGTACAGAGTCACAGCTTTAATTCATTTGCAATCTTAGATGCAATGTTTTTGAAGGCTATTGATGAACCGGATATTCGCTTAAACCGAACACCGTTTAAGGATAAGCGTGGTAACTTGCAAACCTCCATTTCCCATTGGACTAAAGAGTCTTCATATGCATCCCCGTGCACGCAGAACAACAAGAATTTCTCTCGCTGCTCGTAATCGCATGCATTTGAGTCTAATACCCGGGTAATTTCATCCATCATATCATTTGCGTCCATACTACTGGTCGTCTTCATGCTCCACGTGAACCGAAGTGACCGTGGCTTTAATTGTGCCCCGGTGCTCGTGCTACTTCCGGACTGCTGATCTTGTTCAAGGGATCTGCTGCAAAGTAAGAATAAATGCAACATTTAAGGTAGGTTCAAATATATAGCCTCACAAAACACGCTTAGAGGCAGTCGACAGAAACTGAAATTGCTTAAACTGTCAATCAAAATTGACCAATCAACGAGCGTGATACCACTCGCACGCATGTTGATTGGTCAATAGTTTATCGACAGATGGTTTCAGTCACTTTAGTATCGACAGCGTTTGCCTTTAACGAAATTTCTGATAGAATTTTCAAACAATTGTTAAATGTTGTACAATATACATTTCGCATGCAAAGTTAAGAGCAACACATGCCGAAATTCAAATTCCAGCTAGCGTCGCAAAATAGTTCATAGTTGTACATCAAACACAATCTAAGCTACGACCAAAGACAATCCACCTCCCCTTAAAAATATGAAGGATATTTCTAGTTGGTTTTTTACGTGGGAAGCGTTCATAGTCAATCTCTGACGTAGTCGAAGATGTTTCCAGAGAAGATCTGGGCCTCCCAAATTTTAAACTTCCATGCAGGCCCTGCTGTGGGCAGCTGTTTTAGGGACAACGTTTTTCTTATCATCGAGAATTTGCATGTATTCTAAATTCCATATCGTTTTGTCTTTCGTGAAAAACCTCATATTTTGCAGGTGGCTTTGAAGAATCCTATTGTCGTTAATCGGTCCTATTGTCGTTAGTCGGTCCTATTGTCGTTAACAGGTACATAGTCAGCTAGAGTTTTTGCGTTGCTATTTGTAGCTTAGGCCTGATCGTAGAAGTTTCTCTTCACGGCTGTAATATTTTTCGTTAGACGAAAAAATCTTTGTAAGACGAGAAAGCTCTTAGTGTGTTGTAAAATGGTTGCTTTTTTAAAGCCGTTTTTCGTTAGAGACCGTCTCACGAATAGAGCCGCTTTAAAACTAAGAATTTCTCAATACTAGGTTTGAAACACCAAGAGAATCTACAGTTCAGCCAACTACAATCAGTCTTCCAATCTATAGCACTGTTTATATCTGATCAACTCACTGATCTATCAATGGATGAATAAGGTCTACTTCTAGGCAGCAATGAGCTGGAAAGGGCCAAACACTGAAAGGGCACCCGTTTGCCGGCACGCCATGAAGCAAAAACAAAAAAAGCCGTTCGCGCGCAAAAATTAAAATTTTGGATGCTGTTGGCAGACAGTAAAACCCAAACCGAAATCTGCCAAAAATATTGTGAATTTTTTCCGGTCACGGTTAATTTCAAAAGAACTTCGGTTGTAATTGGCAAAACCTATATTGGACGCAAATTTGCAAAATGGATGGATGACGTTAAAATTAGGTACTAGGATTGTGAATGACATTTTTAACCACAAAACCACTTATACTTTAAAGAAAAAATACTAAAGCCATATTCTAGAAACGAGGATTAAAAGGAAAACTAATATAGCGCTAAAATTTGTAACATACTCTAAAAATTTACAAAGGAATGAAGTGCAAAGAAATGGCTATTGTTCACGGCAGGGCTGGACACGCATTTGGTTCCACATGTTGATTATAAAAACAACGGTTATTCAACCACAAATTCCAGACATTCTTTGAATAGCTGTGGGGCCAGAATTCCACCACGCAAGTATTCTTAGAATTAACGCCGGTTGCTTTTGTACACTACTGAAGCATTGTCTATTGACAAAACATTGTCCATTGACAAAGCAGTATAGTATTATTGAGTTGGATTACAAGTGCGTTTCTTTGTACTTGGAATGGCAAGACCCCTGAAGGGAAGAGGAACACAAGCTGCGTGCTGGCTCTGTTCACAAACAATGGCCTGTGTAAAGTAAATGTGCACGTGCAGGAAAACGAAACACATTGCAACTTCTTCGATGCACAAAAGACACCCGATGCTTCACACCCACAATTAAACCACAAATATCTAGGACTTGCTTTGACCCTGTGAACAGGAGATCTCCTGAGCGCCGCTAAACAATACCTTAATTGAAAACCCATTAGGTCGAGTGACGTTACTTTACATTGTTACATTTTATTCGACACAAAAAATATCTGTTTATTACGCATAGAGTGTGAAAGCCTTTTGTAATTCCTGTTGACAGGAACGTGAAACTGAAATTTTTAGAGGTGAGGTAAAATAGCTTTTTGACTATCATTTCGGCCATATAATACTTTCCTATGGCACCCGTTTGCGAAAACTAGCATTTTGTCATGCATATGACAGCTATAATCAAGTATCAGACATTTTTTGTGCCACTTGGAGTAGAAGTTGCAAGTGCATTCCTACTCTTCGCGTAGTTATTAGATGCGGCTAAAATTAAGCGAATGCTAGCGTCCTTGGCGTCCTTAGCGCCCTTAGCGCCCTCATGCGTCCTTAGCGCCCTCATGCGTCCTTAGCGCCCTCATGCGTCAATGCGATCAGGGCTGTTGGATGATGTGTTACTCTTTCACCCTCAGGGCTTTCGCCGACTCCAGTCTGAAATGGAAAAAAATTCGCTTTGTTAGAGGCGAGAAACAGTTAACAGAAAAAGACGACGAATAGAAATTGTGGAGAATTGCTGCGACAGGGCAGTTGGAAAATAGAGACATTATATTTTGAATAGACCAGAGGCAAAAAAATTGTACTAGCTCAAATTTTTGTGGCTCATAATCTGCCTAGTCAAATAACGTGTTGTTCACGCACAGAAAAACTTACAAAATTTATGATAAGATAGGCAAAGCGAAGGAATTGCCCAACAGATAGCCCTGCTGAATACTGAAATAAAGTGGTATTTTTCCATACCTTGAGTATTACGCTTTGCATTATCAGCCCTAGAGTACTAGACATAAGTATTATCAGCTTAACATTCCAATACATTCTTACTTATAATTGTTTTTTATCCAGCGAAACCCATACAGCTTTCACTGGCAATGTGAGGATACATAGTCCTCTCAAAACATGAACTGGAAGCGCAACTCACCTTCGAACACAGACCTGCCGGTAAAGCCATTTCTTTGCTCTCCGCGATGCAAAAAGTGCAGGCAAGCAAACAAGCTGTTAAAAACGCAGCTTTGCATGCCGAAAAATCTGCATAAAAAGCACTTACCGGCGCTTTCTATGTTTGCCAAATAAATTTTCTCGTGACATTCTGCGAAACAACAGTATTATGTAAGCTCTTGAATGAGCCTGTTTGTCAAAATTCCTCACGAGAAATACTTTAACTTTCGAAAAATTATTTCAGCTTTACAAAGCGAGCTGTCGGACGTGTAACAACACAAAAAGTTACCCATTTGCCCGAAGATTCAACTGGAAGTCTGTCTTTTTGACAGAACTGCTCAACGACTTTGTTATTGGGCATATTTAAAATTTACTACCACGAATTTCAAACTCCGAATCGCACTTTATGAAACGAAAAAACCGTGATTGCCGCTTCCCAAAATTTTTTTAAAGGAAAGCTCCTCAAATAAAAAACCGGAGCATTGGGATAACCTTTAAAAATCTGGGACTAGAAAGTTAATGAACGAAAGGGTCCAAGAAAAAGGTATTCAAAAATTTTTAAGAATGTGTAAACATTGATAATTCTTTTAAATTTTTCAATTAACTAAAGATGTTATTCCACTAGTAAAAGTGGAGAAAAGTAATCCTGGGATTATAACAGAGTGAATATAACAGAGAACAGAACATAGAACTTAGTTTGATCTGATAATTGAGAAATCTTTTAGTTGAAGAAGAGAAACATATCATTATTTCTTCTGCCTGGAATTATTTGAATTTTAAGAAATCAAATCAAGAATTTAAAAAACTGTGAATCTTACAAAACGTCTTGGCGCATATAAAATCCGATACGATGACGGTGGCGTCATAAAAAGCCTTACAGTCTACATCCCATCGTGTACAGTCTCAATTTCATTGCAGAAATCGACTTGACTAAACTCAATAAAAATGGCCCTACCTTTTACTAAACCTTGATGTCAGCTTGCTTATGAAAGAAGTTCTTCCAGACGCAACTGGGCTACCGGCTTCCCTGCTCCTTTCTTCGGCCATCTTCTTCCGTTCTCTGGTTTGCCCGCTATGGAACGTACTTCGGGCAGTTGTGCCTCTGTTCAGTTTTGGTACTTGAGTTGTCTGGGCTGACGTCACATGCTTTAACGGAGCAGTGCTAGAAAAACAGAATGCAAGATTAGCAAAAAAACTGCAAAACAAAAAAATGGCGCTATTCAGAGAGGTATACCGTGGGCAATTCTTGTCAATCATTTTCTTTGTCTGTATTTAAATAGATGCGTATTAATGATATTCTGGAATCATTTGATACTGTAGATTCTCTTGCCTCTCTACCATCAATACAACAATATCTTTAATATTAGGTTCTGCGTTACTGTATTAATAATTGAAAAAACTAAGCTGTAAGGTTAAGAAATACGGTCGTGTTTTTGCTCAATTTCCTGTGAACCAGGAAACTTAAAAACTGCCATCACTCTATCTTTTGATATCTGATGGTCACTTTCCGCTTCGCCTTTGTTTTTGTTACAATTTGAATCGTAATGAATATCTGGTGTGGCCGATAGAAGTTAGAAGCCGATAACGTCAAATAAATTAAAAAACATCTAGCTTTCAAAAATCATTTTTCTAGTATGGGTAAAATCAAAAAGTAGATTTAAAAAATTTTATTGTGAATAGTTTGAATTCACTCACCCTGGCCTACTTTCATCATCGGCAGTAGTCGTTTTATCACGATCGGAGCTCCTTGTAAGAGCGGCGGGTGGCAATGACATCCTTGTGGGAGATAAACGGTTCGGTTGCTGAGGTATCCTACTACGGGCTCTGGCCCCTGTGTCTATTTCTTGGCTAAGGTGATAAAAATATATGTGACTTCTAGAATTCGTTTGCAATGTTCATTCATCAAGGAATATAGTAGCATTGGTAACAGAGAGGATTAAAACTTAAAAGTGTTAAAATAGAAATGTTAAAATGACACGTTAAATATTTTGCCTACGCCTATATTCAATCCAAGGTGGCATGACTATCATCTTAAAGAAAAAACACTAGATTGAATTGTGAAAATAGTAAAATACCAGACATGCCAAGACCAGACAAATGTTCCAATACAATTGCAAACCCAATTCTGAGAAGAAGATGAGAACAACTGATTCGTTAGACCTTAAAGAATCATTGCTAACGATGAGCCTTCATGCACGTGGCAAATTGTCCAGGCGATGATCCAAACAATGGCAGTAAACTTCTACGGATTAACCAAAATTGATTTAAGACTGTCTGAAAATGCATTATGGGATGCTTGCATAGCGCAAAGTCTTTAACAATCTTTCGCGTACCTTGACTTCTCTTCTCCATTTGCTTGAACTGAGTTCGCAGTGGCTGAACTTTGCTGAGCTCTGTTGCCATATGTTGCGCTACTGTATGTGTTTCTACGGGCAGCACTTGACGGTGCACTATGTTGCTGTAAATGCGAAAATGTAACAAAATTACAAACTCGGCAATAACAAAAGCAAGTTAAAGGCAAAAATCGGCAACATGAGATAACACCAAGTAACTACAAAAGGCCGCTACCACCCATGGGATTGATGTGGGCTGCAGCAATGGGCCTAAGATTTAGGGATGTTGAAGTACGTTTACAACGTGCTATATTTTATGCAAATTCAATTTGCTTTCCTTCCAAACAGGAAGCTATAAATTAGTCCTTATAATTTGCTTTTCATTTAAACAAAGAGCTGTAAATTAGTCCTTATAATTTGCTTTTCATTCAAACAAAGAGCTGTAAATTAGTCTCTAGAATTGACGAAAAATATGTCTGCTGATGCCTTAGCTTAAATAAGGGCTTGGCTCCCGGTTGGGTTAAAACTCTTACCCTGCCTACCATCTTGTTGGATTTGCCTGCAACTACATCCGGGATCTGCGATCGATTGGGATTCTTTCCCGTCACTGAAGCTGTTCCACTATCTGTTGTTCTAGTCGATGACGAAGTATGTTCACGGCTATTTACAGAGCGATCGGCACCATTGCTTGTTGCTGGCGACATATTAACCGCCTCGTACGGTTGTTGAACTCTAAAATCAGAACAGGCAAGGTAGTCTCAGTCCCTCAAGTTAGCTCCTTTGAAAACCAAGAACTTCTAAATTTGCTCAAACCCAAAATTAGATTGGATAAAACTGTAATCCATTATAAAAATTAAAAAATGATATCTTAACAAAGTGACCGAAAAAAATTCACTTGAATTGTTAAATGGACAATCTCTAATTCTACTGTAGTTGATAGCTTGGCAGATAAATAAATTTCAGATTCATAACCTTCGGTCTTACAAAGCAAAAAACATCTACGAACCAGTACACCTGTATACAGACAACATAATGTGTACTTTAAGCCTAAATCAACAGTTAGTGAAGAGGAAGACTGCCTATCCCCTTTACAGCTACTGACAAAAAGAAGCAAACCCTAACATACCTTGATGGTCGTTGCGTCTGTGATGGGACTCTGTTTTCTCTGTTGCCCCTTCCACTGACCCGTGCCGATCTGGCTGTCTGTGGGGCAGCACTACTTGTGTCGGTGTTACCGCTCGTTCTACTGATGTACGACGAGTCTAATGATATGTTATCATGACTCGAAAGCTACAATAAAGCCAGGTGAAAGCATTTTTCATGAACATGTAATGCTGCAATAACTAATGAGATGCTGTTAAAACAGACCTATGTTATCATAACTGGGCAACTTCAGAGGTTTGTATATGTTCCTACTTAGAATCAAAATGTAGTTTTAATGAAACTGAGAAGCTACGCCTATTGTGCAGTGTCTTGGTCCGTCTCTTGATGTGACCACGCCTGGTGATTCAAACTCCTGGAATTGCAGATGGGACTACCCTCACTCTGGGTGAAGGTATGGGACTAGCCAGGGTCTCGAGCCCCAGACCCTTAGATCTGTTGTCCGCCATCCTTACCACTGAGCCATTTTCGCACCTTCAGAGATGGAAGTGTTATTATGGAAACATATTTGACGTATGGCGGTATCTTTTCTTAATTTGGTGCAATAAAATATGACTAAAGACTGCCCATATACAACCCCTTACAAAGACTTAAAACTTACATTAGCTAAAAAATACATCAATATATACATTATGATAATCATAACTATGTCTAAATGTTTAGCTTGAATACAGGCAAAAAGATAACGTTAGAAAAACTTTGAACTCGTCCTAAACAATTGGAACATTGAATTGGTGTATTTAAATTTATGATCGACAATCTTAAGAAAAATTTGACAAAGTATTGTTTCATAATTATTAACAAATCAGCTAGAATAACAGCTCATTGAAATTTCATGTTTGCTTGCATGCTTGCTTGCATGCTTGCTTCACAGGCGAATGGCGACAGATTTTTTCTCAAAAAGGCATTCCAAGAACGATATAGTTCTAATTGCTAGCATGACAACGAATTTTTCACTCAAAGTTTTTTCTTAGTCTATTACTCCTTTGAAAACATTTTCCTTAAAAACTCCAGATGCTACAGACATGTATGTGTACGATGTTAAAGAAACCTCATGAGTGATAAATCTTCCTTAAAAATTAACCACATCTAGTATATCATAAGTATGAATTGTAGACAAAGCAATCGTGATAACTGTTAAATAAAAAATCAAACATACTTTTAGATCCGTCTTTGAGCGTTTAGGTTACAGGGGTGTTATGTATGTTCTCTGGCAGCCCTAAGATTTACCTTAACAAATGAATATTTAAAAGTGGTCTTGGCATAAAGAAATGGTTGTATAGATCTTACAGCTTTCAAGGATTTTTAATGCCCAGAACGCATTTAGATTAAAAAGCTATCTTTGCAGTCGATCATGTTTGAATACAAACCTTGGCAGCAATCTAAAACAAGAAAAACATACAATCTATTCAACGGGCAATGACCTGATTGCGTAGTTTAGGGAAAAACAAATGAACTGGGAAAGGGCATGGAAGAAAAACAAACGAGGAAAACATCTGGGAGACCTAACAAAAAATTCGAACCAAATTAGGTTTATTGGATGCGTGTCCCTTATCAGTGATACTTGTTTATACATGATTGACTGCAAATGATAGCCCAAAGTTACCATTTTGTCTTGCAACCAAGTACGTAAGGAACACTTTGGCTTTCAACCAACAGTTGCATAAGCAACGCTGGGTCCAATTACGGTCAACAGCGATAAATCCAAAAATAAGTTATTATCGTAAATAACTTCTTATCAAAAATAAGTTTGGATTTATAATCCGAAAATAATTAAAGTCATTTTCCAGGGACCTGGCAAAATTTGATTTTCAAAATATCAAACGCCAAAAGTGTCGAGGTTAGCCTCGTCAAAATAAGATTAATTCCGAGGATGATTTTTGTGACCTGGTTTGTTTTACAAAGCATTCTAAACAAGTATGGGAAAAGTGCATTAATAATAGAACAGTCCAAAAAATATTCTGAAACCGTTGCTTAACAACAAGGGCAAGTTTTTAAAACAAGCTAATTAATTGTTGATGACATATCTATGAACTAATTCTTACATATTTTGATTTTTCATTCAAGGCTACAGCGAAAACGCAAACATTAGGTTTGATTGCTATCATTGACTATTCGATTTAAAGGCAATCTGTCGCGACGTTGATTGATTATAAGAACAAAGGGATTTTTTATTGTTTCCAGTCCCCCTTTAATTTATCGCATTGTAAAAAATATGGCGGAGCGCTGCAATTGTGTTTAGGCTATTGTTCCAGCTATTGTTCTCGTTAGCCAATCCACAACGAGACAGATTGCCTTTAAGTTCAGAGAACAAAACTTTTTCATGACGGTACACAAAAGTTTGATCATAGCGAGAAAAAGAATTGCAATACACAATGTGATCAAAGCAAGCCAAAGTAGGCAAAATGAAGAGAACAAATAGACATTTCAGGATAGCAGTAGTCTTACAAAGCTATAGCAAGCGTGTTGTTTGTCATGATGGTAACGATCTGAGGAAACTGGCTTAGCTAGCAAGCACTCTAGCAATCTCTTTCATTCAACCTACATTTGGTTCTCGAGCTTTATACTTCATATGTAGAATGTGATCAAGCAGAAAAAAATTGAAGCTCTTAGAGAAAGTGTTCTTCTCGCAAGTCTATAAAACTTTAGAATATTGTGTTTTGCTACAAATTTGCTTGTAATAAGAATAAATACTTACTCTCTTTTCGTCTAGCAGAATATATGTTGCCATTACTTCGTCGTACTTGTTATTCGTCAGTGATTCCTTGATTTCATCGGCAGAGAATCCCATTCTTATCATCAATTCTGTGAAAGCCGACAAAGATTCAAGATTTTTATCAAAATTAACTATCAAATAAGCTGTCAATCCATAAAATTTCATATCAGTTTACCATATATGTAGCTATCAAGCATACATACATTTTTCAACGTTTGTTTCATAGATATAGTATGTATAATTTATAACACACTGCTTCGAAACATCAAAACAACAACTGGAAGGTGTCTCAGCTCTTAACAACCCTTGTTGAGTCTCCCTACGAAATTCCCAAACAACAATATTACAAAGTGCTCTACCAACATTTTGTAGCCACAATTGAAAAAAACCAAGCTGTCTTATGAAAAATCTTGATACTTTATTCTCTTGGCGTAACAAACATTACCTTACTCTAAAGTTTAGACAGAAATACTTTATATTGGTTCGAGGTATATGAGCAAAATATCAGAGTATCGAAATACCTTTCTTAGTTTGATGATAAATTCAAGAGATTGACTTACCGAGTCGTTTTTTGTCATTAAAGTCTGGCTTTGGTTCTAAGTACGGTTTTAACTCTTCATTTTCATAGCCAATATTCATCCATTTATCTTGCATTATCATCTACAAAAGGTATGAAAATAACTTAAAATAACGGTAGAAAAATAATTGAAAAATATTCCTCAATTCATGCCAGAAACTATTCTATTCACCTTTTCTTTATCTCTACTGCTCGATGTCAGAAGTCAAATATATATCATAGTACGAAGTGCAACTAAATGATTGACCTGAGCGCTTTAATAAAAAATAAACCAAACCTGTTCCAACCATGATCCTGAAATTGAACACTTGTTTTAAGTTTATCCTGAATTGCCAACAAAAAAAGCCAGGTATTTAAGAGTTCTTTATCGTCTCTCTCGAAACTTTAGATGAAGAACAAAATCAAATGCAGTAGTGTCATAGAACACCTAAGTTTGAGAACAAGGAGTCAATGATGAAATTGGCCTTCTTGTAGTCGGTTTAAAAGGCCATTATCTCGATTTTGGCAAAGGACCAAGTGCCTTGGTCATGTAACTGATTAAAAAGGTTTTATTTTCACGACGCTCATGTGCCGAACACAGCTTGTTCATAACAAGGTTAACGAGCAATGATAAATGCTCAGATAAGAATTCTTGAATATAAAGAAAGTTTTCATACCTCTAAAGATGCTCTTTTTTCTGGATTCAACACTAGAAATTTCTTTAACAGATTTTCACAGTCTGTTTAGGAAAATGAGATTTCGATAAGACAAAGACACGTAAACTGATTGTCACACATCATTCATCTTGCACACTTAATAATCAATACAAAATGCTTATGACAATATATCACGAGGGCTTTTGCGGTTAAGTTACAAGTTGCAAAATACTACCCAGAATATTTTCCTTACCAGTTGACATGTAGAAAGGAATTCGGTATTTGCCCCTAAGAACCCTTTCTCGGAGTTCCTGAAACAGATGGAGTAGTGAAAATCAGGCAATAGAAGACATAAGTAAGATGATCAAATAACCAAGTTACGCGAAAAATATAGTAGTAGGAAAAAAAAGTAGCGGTAAGTAGTACCGTTCACACAAATTTCTACGGATAAATTTGTTTCTACATTTTCTAACGAAAAATAGGATTGTTTCTTCTTTGTAAGAATGGAATCCAAAAAAACTATTAATTTCAGATATTAATTAATTTATATTTATTAATTCTTTATTAATTTATATTTATTAATTCTTTATTAATTTATATTTATTAATTCATATCTATTTATAAAGAGCTGGATATTAATTTCAGCTCTTTAAAATCCCACCGAATATCGCTTTGGGAGCTCATCATAAGAATTGTCAAAAACTCTTTTTCATGAGACCAATCTAAGCACAGCACTCGCGAGACAAATAAAATTTCACAAAAAAAACTAATGATAAGTTCTTTTGAATCTCACCTTCAGGTTTTGGCCATCAAAAGGCAATGAGCCGCTAACTAACGTATAAAGAATAACACCTAAACTCCAAACATCTACTTCAGGTCCATCATATTTCTTTCCTTGAAATAGTTCAGGAGCTGCATACGGTGGACTGCCGCAAAATGTATCAAGCTTATTGCCAGGTGAAAACTCATTACTAAAGCCGAAATCTGCAATTTTAATATTCATATCTGCATCTAGAAGTAGATTCTCCGCCTACAAAAAGAAAAAGCCAAGTTGTCAGAGATCCGACGGCCCTTGCACAGACAAAAACCAAACAAAATCTAGCAACAGATAAAAATAATCCTCAAGATCCACAACTACGTAAAAAAATTATCCGAAACACATTTCACAGACAACCACAAAGGATTAAATCTCACCACGACAACACAGAATTGCTGTTGGCTTTTGATACTCATGGAAGCAGTAAAAGCGTCAATCATCGAAACAAATAGATATATTGGCGAATTAAGAATCCGGCGAATGAAGAATCCGGAAAATGGCATTATCTAGCAAGCGAAAGGCAGTAAGGACAAAGCTGGAAAATGTTAGTTTGTTTTATTCCTGCAAAACCTAATGACACCAGTTCTCTGATATGAAGTATGTGCCACGCAAATTTACCAGAGGAAAAATTACCAAAGTGCAAATTTACTTAAGTGCAAATTTACCAAAGTATAGGAAGGATTAGAATGACTTACTTTTAAGTCCCTGTGTATAACATGCTTTTGATGGCAATACTGAACAGCTGAAACAATCTATAATAAAAAAACAAGCCATTTACGAGGGAAATAGCTAATGCAGACAAGCTGTTGTCGATTTGCATGTGACGTCATAAACAGCAGCTTACAATAGAAATACGCCTAGCAAATACAGATGGTCGGTTAAAATTTGACCGTGCTACATCGTAAATACAGGATTAAAGGGCTTAACTGGGGATCTCAAGTATTAACTCAGTTTTGCTGATGAAAATGCTGCCATCATTTAGAGTCTGGCAACTGTTATGATGTAAATGAGATAGAGCAACGCACGAGTTCAGAACAAAACAGAACGATAGATGATCTTCTTGACTCCAACGGCTTCTTCAACACGAAACTCCATAAGAATATCTAAGAAGACGACTTGCGCTAAGGCTTCTGCACACATTTGTTACTATATAACTAAGTTTCTACGTCAACTTTCATAAGACAACTTCCCCGCACCCGGACCTAGCATTACAGTAAACAATTATCATTGATGTCAAACAGTAAAATTGCATTCATTAAATCTACCGGTTTTATCGCATTAAAATCACGACTAATGGGCCAAATACATTATCATAATCAACAAAGATTTTTGAGTGCTTTCAATCGAACTAAATGATAGCCAATTTTTATCAAAGAGCTAAAAAAGGAGATATGTGACTATTCAAAAGAATCTATAAGAAATTTATGTTGCTAACACCTGCGAGGAAATTTATGTTGCTAACAGCTGGAAAACTAACAAATCCAACTCGCAGTGTTAAAAGAAAAAACGAGGATTTTTGTCCAAATATGATTTTATTGTGTATGCAAGTTGGTTGCCTATCAAAAAAATGAGCCAATAGTCTAGCAAAGGAATGAGCTAAAGAAATGACTTGACACCACACCATCAATGTGCATGATAACTGGGTATCAACACGAAAATTCGTGTCATTTTGAAAAATGTCATCTTGACAAACAAAGATCTAAACCATCCTTCATGGGAAGCTTCCTACCTGTCTAAATTTTGCTCTAGCCTCCTTCTCCTTCATTCTGCCATGAGCAACGAGATAGTCAAAAACTTCACCTAGAAATGAAATAATCTTTAAAAAGATCTGTTAGGCGTTTAGAAACATTTCTAAAATTTAAATGATCATTTTGAGAACGTCGAGTGGCAGAACGCAATGACAGAAGCATCATTTGTGAACTACATACAGCGAGTATCTGTTTGCTGAGAAGCCCTATGAATTAGAGCTTTCTACGTTAAACTTTGCAGCTGGAACGAAAAAATCTCAACCCTTTCTCCCAGGGATTGTAGATCTGGCAATGAACTAATGTGCTGAAATAAACCGGAACATTTTGGGGGCATTACAAACACTTTTGATGTTTCCATACCTCCACTTGCATATTCCATTACAAGGTAAAGTGTTTTCTCAGTTTCGATGACTTCATAAAGTTTAACTGCAAGAAAAGGAGCATCGAGCTAATCATATTGCATTTCGTAGAATCGCCATGTTACATAAACGAAGCATTCAAAAAACACACAATACACTATGCCACATAATACCCAATATGGCCTCTACTTCCTTAAGTAAGGCCTCAGAAAGGCCCCTCGCTGGTTTCCATCGTACGAAATAGAACTACCGAAATTATGATTAGGTTTGGGTGGCAATAACGTGGCCAACTGAACGTGCTTTTTCATAATGTCGTAGCAACCATTGCCAAGGAATTATTTACTTTTCTGAATCATCGAGGATATAAATTAAATGTTTACTTTTAGGTCGCATTAGGTCTGAAAGACACACTTGAGTTGCTCAACTTTAAACGCATTTGCATCCGTGGCCAGGGAAAATATTTTGGAATTGCATCGTAAACATAGAACTTCTATCAATGTTCAACACGTGCATCGTTTCGGTGTAACCTCCAATCGGAAGGATAAGAAAACAAAGGCTACCTTTAAGCTTCATGAAAAAAAACTTTAATATTGATTATTGTTTTGCCTGGACCCAAAGGGTCTTGTGTAAATACCATTTTGGTAGGTACATATTACTAAACAAAACCCTTTCAACAAAAGAAAGAAAAAAGCAAATCGATTTCCATATTGTTGCTGCATAATGTATCCAACGGATCCTTTTTTTAAACAATCAAAACCAAGAGGCCTGCAATCGGCAGGAAAGACTCCAAGTTAATGACACACAATCGTATAGAAACTCGTCACAATCTAATATCAATCGGGCTTAAACTTTTACAAAAACTAGAAGGAGCAAGGGCCTAGGAAAAATTCACATTGAATAGTCACCCACAATGCAAGGCCAACTTTCTACTTACCCCTTGGGAGAGAAACAAAGGACGCAACAGACTTTTATAGCAAGGAAATGATCCTACGATTACAATTCTTTTGGCGGTAAATACGGCATAACAATCGTGCAAAGCGGATTATCAATGTTCTCTTTGTAACAATAAATGGATATCGACAAGAGCGTTACATGCCTGAATTTTGATTAGCAATTAATCAACTGACCTCGAAGAATTACGGCGAATATCTCCACCAGAATTGGCCAAAAAGTCGACGGGAGATTGAATCATGTTCTAGTAATTATGCTACGTTTGATAACGTCCATACTTGTTAGTCTTCAAGACTATTAAGAAACCTCGTGGTCGGTGCGAAAAAAGCAGAACATTACGTGGGCCCGTTAGCTTTGTGGGAAATCAGCAGAACAAGGCGATGTCTGCTCCGCTACCTCTTTCTCGTTAGGTTTTCTTACGAAGCATAAAGCCCCATCTTGTCGCTGGGTGCAAAAAACCACCATACATTGATAAAATAAGAATAGGGTTCAGGTTACACTGGCGCTTTTGATCTCAACTGTAGCATGACAAAAGCTCTTCCCTCTTCAATATGTAAATTCTTTACTATGACAGAAACAGGGGTAGCAAATTAACAAGACTAATGATAACGGGAAAATCATAGGACAATATTCTAACAGCACGATGTCATCTCACTGCTTGAGAAGTTCTGACAATTATTTCCACAAACTTTTGAAATATTGGAGCAATCACTGACACTTTATAGTTTGGCTTTCTATTCAAGCAAAAAATGAGCTGAGAGCACAAAAGGTTTGCAGAGAGTAGCCTACTTCTGTTAGTTTGGCTGGGATAATTTCAAGTTGCTTTGTCTGCCAAATTATATATTATACGTCACTAACCACGATGAAATATGACACACTTCTACAAGTGAAAACAGAAATGATGTCCCACTCAAAAATACTAAATCTGAGTAACATTTTGTAAAAGAATAAGCCCTTTAGACTGGTGGGACATTTACCACAAGGCGAATCTTCTGGCATGAATCTGCACCTATTTTAAGAAGAGCCAGACTATTACAGGGGTTTGCCAGGTTGATGTTACGAAAAGATCATCTTGTGAAAAAGGCCTCCAATTCAATGACAATGGAAATCCGCCATTGGTGAAAACAGCACAGATAAAAATGGTTGAAACTGATTACAAACAGGTATACAGAGCAAATCTTAAGATGCTAGATCTCCCTACTCTGTGCTGCATCTCACATAAAGCAAACATCATGAACCATGTACAAAATCTCTAGATTAAAATATCAGAGACTGACTTTACATCTCATATAAAAAAAATTAAAAATTCCCAAAATTGAAATTCCTTTTACTCAATGAATTGCTTTTATCACCAATCTAACTCGGGTGTAACAGAATTTGAACATGCTTTTTGGTTCAAACAATGAAAGAAAAAATACCAATCTTTTTTAAACATTGATGATTAAGTTCATCTTTGTAAGACAGAAGATTCTTATCAAAATATTACTTAACTTCCCAGCAGACCGGCTATGTGACTTAAAACAGTCAATTTTTAACTATATATATATACATTGTTTTCTATTTGGTAATGTTCATGCTTCTTTTGATAAACCCATTAATAGGTAGCTGACTATGCTGTGCATTATCAAAATTATCTTCAACATTCAACTCTTAAAAGACAGGTCATTTAAAGTAACCTTAGCAAAACAAACAGGCAGTTTTAATTAAAATAATGGGACATATGCTTTGATAAAGTCCATTATGTTTAGCCAAAGCAATGATAAACACAAACTGAGATCAAAGGGTAAATTTATGTGGCCATCATTTTCGTGTTTTGTACTATAGTAGAATATGAATTCAGCTGCTGAGGTGCATTGCTTATTTGAGTGATTACTAAAAGAGACTCACTCCTAATGTACCTAGCAAGCAAAAACTTGATGAAAAATTAACTTTGTCTGAAAACACACATCTAACTTCTCCAAGCTGCTAAACAGCTGTCTATCCATCTTCTGCCTCAAACAGGTAGATGAAAGGAGCTGCTGGTTTTCATTTTGTGCACAAAATCTCGGCTTCTGGATTCAGATGAGGTTGATCAAACAACATTAAAGACTCTTAAAGACTGTTAGATGAATACTGGTTTTCTTAATAACATAAAATGTTCTAAAGTAACAGTAGTTATAAGACTTACCAATATTTGGATGATCGAGAAACTTCATGATACTGACTTCGCGAAAAAGCTAGAATACATGATGCAGCTGCATAAATACTAAAATCTTATCCAAAAAAATCAGCAGATTATTGAAATAAAACACACACATATATATATATGAAGATTCATCAAAATCTTTAAACAGTTATGTGAAGAAACCTGCTTCAATAGTACTGCAAACTTATCTAACAGGGGAATTAATAGCCCAGGTATGTGAGTCATTATCCTAGGAGTATCTTTGCCTTGATTTGAGGTTTTTGCAGGCTTTTTCTCTTTCTAGTCTTCTTAGATAGCCATGATCTTCACTTTAGTATTTTGATGTATCTGTACAGAATAAAATTTTGATCCAAGGACCACACAATATAAATGATCTTCATAAATCTTTATTCATTAACATGAACTGACAACAATTCTCAATAAAAAATCAAATAAAAATTTCCTTTATAAATTTTTTTAACATACCTTCTGTAAACTGGTTGGGTTTAGCTGTGTTTTGTCAATAATCTTAATTGCAACCTAAAAGACAAAAAAATTGGAACACTATTTTTCCATGTTTTAGACTTGTACAAAAATGAGCCTTTTTTTATTGAAATCTATATATACTAAAAATAACTGACAACAAAAAAACAATACTATTCTAAAAATAAAAGTATATATGATATTTAAATATCCACAAACAAAATCTTTTAATGCTATTGCCTACAACCAATAAGGGTTTCTTGGACATTTTATTAGTGTAGGTATGAAGAAAGTGTGACCAGAAAAAATTTTAATCTCAGAATGTTATCATAAAGAGAAAAACGCATTTTAAACTTCCTTTCTTCTCAGGGCAACTCAGAGATCACCAAATCTGTAAGACTGCTACTTCCAAAGACAATTTTAAAATCATTACATTTTGTTTAATTATAAAAAGTGACCTGTGCAGGGTCCCTAATAACAGTGCCTGTCATGGCCTTAATGTCCCCACACTTTTTTTCAGTACTAAAGGAGATTTTTTGCAAAATGTTTTGTTTTGAATCTTTTATTTGCTCTTGCCCCCTTTGGCCACTTTCCAACTTGTTGTGTTGGAGCCTATGATGCAGGTGTTTTTATTTAATCTTGAATGCAAATTTGTGTTGATTGTTGCATCATGCAATATAAATGTAGATAAAAAGAGGTATATATATATAAGATATTCTGGAGGTACTGCAAGCAAAGGTCTTACAGTTAATACACAATGCAAGACATATTTTATTTTCAATCTTCACATTCTAAGTATATGTTGTAACTGTATCAATCATATACATCACTTTGCTTTTGCATGTTAATTAAAGTCTCAAAAACAATTTTTCCCTGCAGAATTGTATAAATCAGTTCAGAAAGCTACTCGTATATGGTCATTGGAGCTTGTCAAAGCTTTAAAAGTTTGAAATTTCATCAAGAGCAATTGGAAGTCAATAGGAGTTAGGGAATTTAAAAAAACCGATCTACAAAGAATCTTTCTTTGTTTGCTTTTGGACAAAAAATGATTTGAAACAACTGACGAATTTAGAACTAGCTCTCTGAGATAATATTCATTGATTTGTCTACTTGACTTCTTGCAAAAAGCAACCTTTCTGTCAGGAAGCAACTTAATCTTTTCCTAGATTTTGAGAATAATGTGTCTAAGCAATCTGTAGTTACAATGGTTCTTGATAAAAAGTTAATTAAAAATGACCAAGATAGAAAAAATTATATATATTTTGCAACAAGAATGAATCTTTTTTTCAAAAATCCTCACAATACAGAAAGCCAAAATTCTTCTTGAAGAGGTTATTTTACTAATATAGCCTGAAATACCCATACAAAAATGCTGGGGGATCTCCAAACATACAAATTTGATGGAGGCATCACAAAAGACCAAACTTGGTCTGCAGAAAACAAAACTCCCCACCATAAAAAGGTCTCTTTTCTGGTTTAGTAGGAGAAAGTTTTGTTTAAATAAAATCCGCTGGCCAAGCCTATGTATTCAAGGCACTTGAACATATTGTGTAGGGAAATATAAGATAAAGCCAAATATTATGAAGATATTATGAAGAAACAAACTCCCGAAATGCAAAGGTCACAATGAACAGAGAAATGCAAGCACTAGAGAGCTAAATAAATAGCTTGAAAACCAGCCAATGTAGATTGGTTAGCACTTTTAATTCTATACATGGTCTTTTCTAAATGAATCCAAACCAGTACAAATTTCTTTAAATATCTACTGACACTCTTTGAAAAAATGTCAAAGGTTAACCAAAAGGAAGAATCTTTGAAACAAAATTTTTAAGTTTTTAGCCATCACTTCTTAGTTATAATTACAAAAAAAAAATTTTACTGCTTTCTTCAGATCTGGACAGATAATTCTTATTCCTGATAACATTAAAAATATTAAACTTTCTCGATTTTAGCTTTATACTGAGACTGTGGTTCTGACAGTCTTAGTTCTTGGATGTATTATAGTTGGAGTAACCAATCAAAACTATTGTGAGATGGTGGGTTGGCATATGATAAAGGTTATCTCAATTGTATGCATTCGAATGAATTCTGCACATCTCTGCGGTTTCAGAAAACTTAAAAATTGGTCGACATTACAAGCACACGATACTTTTAATGAAACAAATAAAACCAAAGCAACAAACCTCGCGACCAGTGGGTGAATGTTTAGCAAGTTTAACTTTCGCAAAGTTTCCTTTCCCAATGGTTTTAATCAATTTGTACTTTCCGATGTAAACATCGTCCCCGCCGGTTGCTTGACGGTTTCTGCTGGAACGTGTTGATGAATGACCGTCATCACTCTATGAATAGAAAGAAAAACAATCATTAGCCCGTGCAAACGACAGCGGCTACCAAGCCCATGATTCTGACGAAAATATGCCAAATCGTAGTCCTTTCTTAACCTCAGGCTTGCTGTCAATGTTGTTGTTGATTATTGTGGCTATGTGCTTCCAGCTTTCAATGGCGCCCAATCTGACAGATGAAATACTATGCAAAGCTTTTTCCCTAAACTAAATCTATGACGACCAAAAGTTGATACTAAGAAACAAAACTCGAAGAATAAGAAAGATATACGATTTTGCAACATTTCACATTTCCATCAATGCATCTAAAGTAGCAGATTTTAAATGCGTGCGTCAGGAGGCCAAAACATTGTACCGATTGATATTTGAAGGAGGAAGATGGCAGGTTTTAATTCAAGGAAAATATGAAACATGACAAGATAAAGAAATTCCCAAACTGAATTTGTTTGCTTAATACCCTATTTCCTCTGCTACTGGAGCTGGTGGTTCTGCCTGATCTCGAGTGCCCATGGTGCGAATGTCCATGTCTCCCATCTGCGTTTTCTACAACAGTCGACAAAGCCGTCCTTCCAGACATTTTTTATACAACTCAGCAGCCTGAATCAAATCTAATTCACCACTGTTCTCGTCTTCATCATTTGGAGCTTACCACAATAGTAAATAAGCGGGTCGTAAACACAGCCCTCGGATACAAGCCAATTGAAAGGGCGATGCTTTCACAGTTACTTCTTTCAAAACGCCTTGACTAAAAATACATTTCTCGTCGAGCTGAACCAGGTTTGAAGCTTCCAGAGTCTGCCAAGACCGCTTCAACAAAATTTCATATCAATTGGCAACCTTGATGGTGTTGTATCTAGTCAGGGCTACAGTAAAATTGACTTGAAACACCGCCTTCCTGTTGCAGTGGCGGAATTCCAATATGGAGGCAGTGTCACGTATTGAATTTTCCTTCTGCTACTTCAGCGAAAGAGTCACATGTCGTAGAGTTCGTGCACCTTATTTCGATTTGAAGACATTCAAGAAGCGCTACAAAAACTCTCCTGAATACATGTACAACTAGCTGTGTCAATCAAACTCGATAAACGTGAAGGCAAATCGACTCAAAGCAAGCCTTCCTTCTCGAATTCCAAAATGGAGACGAAGTCGCTAGCAAATCCCGACCTAGAAGCAAACAACATGTACTAGTGCCCAGACTCTACTGACTTTGCTTGCACTGTGCGGCCACTCCTTGGAAAGAATAATAGTATGCGGGAGCGCAGAGGACTAATAGTGTTGTCGGAAAAGTCGTAAAAACGATTGATAAGCAATAATAGATGACAAACTGCCCTTTGTGTGTAGACTAAATGGGTTATTATCATATCTCAGAGGATGTGCTTTGTCATTAAATGAATACTATCACTTGTAACCCTTTAAAAATTAGGCAGCTCTGAAAATGAATTGCACCGCTAACCCATGTAGAAAAAAACCATTTTCATCCTAGAATAGTTTAATTTTCTCCCTTGTACAGTAATAGAAATGCTTTTCAAATTAATTATTATTTTCTCCTTGCTCATTAAGTCTCAATGGTGTATGATTTGGGATAAAGGTGTGCTATTTCACCGTGCCCCTTTGATTGGTCTTTAATACGAAAGGCTTTAAAATTAACTACTTGACTCAAGATTTGAATGTGCTTGGTAAGGCTTGTACAGTGATGTTTCTCAAATCATGACGTAAAATTAACCAAAATACCACATTGAGTTTGCCAAGTCATTCTATAATTGAAAAAAGATTTCTGCTTGTATTATCTCTGGGAAAAGGTGGGTGCAAACAGCATATTTCCCTTTACTTACTTGGGAATACCTGGTAGATTCTAGATTGCCTTCAAAACTTGTGAAATTGAAGATAATATTCACCATTAATAGGCTAAAATTCCAAAAGATTCAGGGTGCTTTTCCTGGATCACGTTGTTGGTCTCTGAACGCATACGGGCCTATAAGTGTCAATAATTTGGCGTCTCTGCCATTTAGAGCTACGCAATCCACGCAACTGTTGCAACTGGTGCCCCTTTTGTAACCCCCTTTGAATTCCTACAAACAACGTAGAACAAGGTTCTGCAAGCACGTAACAATTGAATGAAAATTGCCATCTGGGTCTATAATTTCCATACTTGCTCCTTCACGTTTGCACGCGGATATGCTGTCTGATTTTGACTTCAGTAATTTTACGCAAGAGCTCAGATTTTCTCTTAGCTATTATATGGTAAAAGATAGGGCCAACTTGCAGATGCTTTCATTGAATTTGACCTCTATAAAGCTGTACGAAAAATTATATTTTAATAAAAATATCATAGCTAAATCGTTCCATTGATATTTGGTAATCATCCGCTAAATTAGTTTTCTTTATGTCTTTCAGACTAAATACGTGCTTACATATGAAATTGTTCACAAAACATTTAGGCTTATCATTTTGAAAACCATTCCAATCAGATGCTATCAGATGTTTCATTTCTTCTTTGCATTCCAAGAAACGAGCATAATGGATTTTCCCCGCACCAGCTCAAATTTGAAGCCTAAAAAGGGAGTTCTATTTAACATATTTCCCACCTTAGGATAGCGGGTTAGACATACCTAATAGGGTATGCGAAGGTATAGATCTGAAGAGTCAGAAAAAGTGTAGGACTGTATAAGTTAAATTCAATAAGATTAAGGAAAATGTAATTAAACAATCTTTTGGTGGTGCAAAACTTGAAAAGGCCTTTGAAAAAAGCAAACATTTGAGTAAACATCTAGTGTTAGGAAACAAAACTCATCCCCAAATAGAACAGCCACCTCTGTTTTGCAGATTTAAGAGTATAACTAAAACCTGCGATTCTGCTATCGGGCAGCATTTACTGGAAAACCCAGATTGTGCCAAAAACTATGCTTCTGAATGGCGACATGTTTCGGATTATCGGTAAAGCCCGATCGTCATTCCATCTACCAGTTTTGGAATCTATCTATATAAGCACGAAAAACCCGCTATTGTGTAGACAAAAGGAGTTCGCTTTCACCTTAGGACTCCATTGGTAACATTCTCAATAGACAAGCGGCACTGATTGGTCAACCTCAACAGTCATGTGCTCGCGTTCCTGATTGGCCTATTTCGATCCACAACTGGGTATATTTCCTAGCGTAGGGAATATAATTAACAGCGAACAAAAAAATCTAAATACAACGCAAAAAAAATACAATAAACTATTTACAACGCAAACGATTTTACCTCAATGTTCCTCATGGTAGAGAGTTCAACGTTTCATATAGTTTCTTGAATATACCGTCAGAATTTCTTCTTCTTTTCCTGCTGGAATCTAGAATTTCCTTCTTCCTTCCAACGACTTTCCTTCTTCTTCCGCTAAAATTTCTTTCTTTCTTCCAGCGACCAAAATCAGCAAAGCCCAGCAAGAAAAGGAATAACACAGAAGATTAAAACGAGGCTGCACTCAATATTCTACAACCTGTGATCTGACCTGTTCCATTTCTGCATCAACTTTGCCTTATTTTCTGAGGACAACTTCCAACTCGAAATTTTGCGCAGTTATTACTCTTAGATTTTTTGTTTCCATTTGGTGAAAAATCATTAATTGGTAGTCAGAAGTAATCAAATAACGCCAATATATCATTTTTTTACTTACTTAAAGGTGTGGCTCCAAAATCCATTAGTTATCTAGCACCTCCAAAGTCCTTGCCGCTTAAATCTGTCCCTGCACACTCTTTTCAATGTTCGTCCATAATGTACAATTTGGCTAAATTTTGTCATTTTCTTTAGCAGCATGCGCAGGAGCATTAGCAAAATTGAGCTATATATAGTTAAACATATAAAGATTAATACATTTATAGATACAATTAGTAATACATGTAGGCCTGTTGGTGTCAGTGGCGTAGCTTATGGGACATCCCCCCTTAATGGCAAAAAATCTTTTTTAAAAAGGGCTTTTTATGGCGTTCAAAAGGTAATGGACCCCTAATCTCCCCTGGTTCAGTTTGCCTTTGCCCCCTAAATCTTACCACCCTGGGTACGCTACTGGTTGGTTTTAACCATATATCGATCGATCTGTTTTGTTTTGAACAAATATACTGTTCTTTCTCCTTCAAATCTTAACAGCATACAATATACTTGAAATCGAAGTTTTTGATTCCCTAGAAGTTTCAACAAGGCCAAAAAGGAATCGGAAGAAATGTTTGAGGTACGATTTTATTCCAATTCCTCTGAAAACCCTAATAGAGACGATTCAACATGTCTAAGAGGCTAAATGTCATTTTGCAAAGATTCTTTAAACAGGCTCTATGAGTGTAATGGGTTAGCCTGATTGTTAGATAAAACTTCATCTGACCTTAACTTGCAGGAAATAGTGGTTGGAATTTTTATCTTTCAGTATAACTTTTGCCATTAACATCAATTTTCTAAGTCGTCATCAACATGAATATGATCAACGTCTTTCATGCATGTTCTTGTGTAAACTTTAAAAGACAAAACAATAATATGCCAATAAGATGTCACATTGATGTCACATTGATGTCAACATGATGTCACATTGATATAAACGTTTATAGATCGTATTCAAGTAACCGTTTATGTACGTTCGAAATGCCAAAAAAAGGCTTTGTTCCATGTTTTTAGTTTTTCATAATTTTTCCTTTAAAATAAGGTATAACTTTTGAGCTGGGTGTATCGATATAGTGGGCATTAGATGACTAAAAATTGCTAAAGTTCCCATAGTTCGACTAATGGTTATAAGCAAATTCTTTGCAATTCATGTACGTTTCATTTTGTTACATCGTTCCTTTGTTGCTTAATTGGCTTTCCGTGTCCAAATCCTACTGAAATCAGATCGTTAGAGAGTTCCCCGCTAAGCATGATAAATTAGTTTTGTTGTGAAAGTACACCTGTAGAACTTTTATAATAAGGGCAACTGATGTGACATAACTAGCAAATTTGCTTGCTTTTTGCTTTTGTTATGAATAAGGGAGGTTGTCAGGAGAAAGAATTCAAAGGTATGCGCGAACCAAACTGTAGGAATCAGAAGGATGTATTGATTGGAAAACAGGGGATAAAGTGCTGAATTGAGACAGTTGTGTTCCTCGTCCAGGTTTGCCCTTTCATAGGGTATTCACGTTAACTGTAAAAATTTTCGGGATACCTCCATGAATTTGAAGCACGAATTCAAGTATCACTCCCTTCAAACAATGTTAGTTTTCGTAAAATGGCATAAGGGATTAGAAAGAATGCTTTTTCCTGTGTTGTGTATAACATTGGTCTTAACTATAAACATTGCTCTGGGACGAATAGGGTACGAATGTTTTAGGTATATTGAAAAGTAAAAAATTCAAACATGGCTCACAAAAGGCGGTCGAGGGCTATCTTGGGCTCTAAAGTTTTCACTCTAGCTACCCTCTTCCCTCTCAACAACTCTGCAATGAAGCAGTTGGTTTTTCGAATATCTTTCTGATTTTAGAGAGCATGAATTGTTGTCTGGTTATCTTCTCCCGATTGGTGAGATCAATAGAGCATTCGCTATAAGACCCATATCACCATCACAGAAGAAGCAGTCGTGGTTCCCTGGGCACCAGAGTCTTCATTACTTAGTCTCAGAAACGTAGTTAGAAACTAGTCACAGAAAATTATTTTTCCTTGCCAATGCAGCTGTCTATGATTTACGAGGCTCTAGTGCCCAGATTACAGTCAAGGACCGCGGAGCATGTTACAGGTTGAGGGGGGCTAAACCGTTTGGGGGGAGGCTAAACATGCTTAAAACCAAGAGTGGGGCGATTTTTAGTATGATTTTAAGTACATTTTGAAAATTATTTGGAAATTAAAGCTTCCTTACCCCCCCCCCACCCCGCTTCCGCGGTTTCTGGTTACAGTTGTTTAGTTCATAACCCAAGTGACTCTGAAAATCTATTGCTAAAAGGCGATCTTGCCCGAGATTCTTCAAGCAGTTACCACTGTTTTGATCTTTCATTCTTCTAACACTTGACAACATACTTTTTTCACATTGAAGCACGTGTACTAAAGAAAAGGTTGGAATTTAAGTCAAAGTCGAACGATTTTGAATAAAAGCTTTATTTTCATTCAGAAAGCTAATTCAATAAGTTAATTCAACAAGTTAATTAGTAAATTAAACAATATTTCCAATTAATAGTATTAATGTATTTAATAAATATACGTTAAAGTTAAAATCCTAGTTGAATTAGAAGAAAAATAAAAGAAAAGGCTTGGTTGAATGGCACGAGAAGCTGGAGCTAAAATTGATTATGGAGTTATGTAAGTGGTGAAGTCAAAAATCTGTTGCCTGAAATGTTAAAGACAGTGCCTATAAACCTTTCTTTACTCATCCTTTTTAGACAAATTTTGGTAATGGTTTGCTGCATTTCTTGAAGATTTACTTTTAAAATTTTGAATTTTTCACGGACTGTGGATGGAAGTGGTGGATCGTAAAAACTCGATACTAGAGACATCTACTCCTCAAAAAGCTCGCTGCTATTGAAGAAAGTTGAAAGTCTTATTTATTTTAAGTTCGCTGCCTCTTAGTACATTAGTCTTTAAAATTAAATCAGAATTTTCTAAGAATAGTGATTTCGGAATACTGGTAGAGTCTAGTGAAAATATAGCTATATTTTACCTCCTGAATATAACAGTTCATGTCTATATACCAAAACATACCTTATGCTTCAGCGAATGCATAAATAGCCTTCTTTTCTACATTTGATATGAATTTTTGCTACTATTTGACTAGGAAGGAGAAGATGCATAACCGAAAAACTTGAAATTTTGTAAAATGTGTAAGAAAATGGTACGAAATTACAAAATTCAATTTCTAAGATCTTCTGTGCACTCCACAAAATTCAAGCAACTCTTCGATGTATTATTTTGGATTGTATATTTAATTGATTAGTGTTTTCTCTTTCATTACCGGTTACCATAACAACTACAAGTTACTTTTAGAATTTATTTTTTCAGTAGTGTAGCATTACAAACAAAAATTTTAGAATTGGGACCATTAGCCTACCTTAATGACACCTTTTTCCGCCGAGGCTGTCTCATCCACTCCCAAGGTTGACAGCAAGAGGAATTGCGCCAGTGGGAATTCTGTATGCTCAAAACTTAATTCTTATATGTAATGTTATTAACCAATCAAATATTTGCTGCAAATGTTATCTTTTGCAATTTGACCGTGGTTTCGAGTACAATGTATAAGCTTTCTTTAAGTATTTGGTTCAGAGGTTTATTAATACAGCCGAGGCAAAACTTACTTGACCTTTTATGATCTAAATGATCCTACCCTACACGTGAAACAAGTGGCTGTTGGAATCAATACAATCTTCCAATCAGGGTATTTTTAACATGCAGCTCTACACAAAATGTGCAGTTCTAAAAGTTTATTCGCTGTTCTAAAGAAAAATTTGTGCAGCTCTGAATTGGAGACAATTTAACTTTTACTTCTCAAGCTGCTGTGCAATTGCTGGTTATACCTTGCTCCATCGTCATCAGTTTCGTCCACCTAACTGGCATAGCTCGTAAAAAAGACGATATCAAAAGTTTATTAAAACATTATATATTATTGCTATTAATTGTCGCTCCACAAACACAATTTTGTCTTATCTTTCAAGATTCTATATAGTTGACTTTGGTTTCTTGTGATTCTATATAACCAAGAACTCGCAATTGTTGTCAAATGCTCTAAAATTTGTCTATTATATTGTACTTTATAATTTTGCTTCCAAGTTGAGTTAGAATCTACTTGCTTTTTCTGCAAATAGATATTACATTATGAATCTATTTCGAAAGATTTTCTTTAAAATAGAGTTTTATATTTAGGCCAAAACTATATTACCGATGAGCATGACTAGCACTTTCTCGCCTTACACAATTCAACATATAAACGTTATAGGAATTGTGAAGGAAATAGACAGTTGTAGAATGAGGTCAGCAAATCGCTACATATGGCGGTTATTGTGTTTGATTAGCCATCCATTGCGATGTAAAAAAGCAATAGCTTTTCTAAATGCATTTACAAAATGGAGCGTTTTCCTAAATTCAAAGGTGTGGTCAGAAAAAATTTTGCCGGGAGTAAAGCCCCGGTGTTATACAACTAGTTTTGTCTGTCGTGCATCGTGTTTGTGGTTCGTTATTGTTAATGAGAATGTCTTTCGATGTTTGCGTCAGTAATTTTGTTTGTCATCGTGCCATCTCTATTTTAGTTGTTATTAGTTCATTTGCCGTTAATTTGTGTCATTAGGGTTTTATGTGCGTCACTCGTGTTGTTAAAAGCGTATGTTCTTTGAGTGCAAGTCCAGTCGAGTCGAAGTTTTCGTTGAATAAAGTCGTCATTTTGTAGTTGTTGGTTGCTGCTAATTATACGATCGCTATTGAAGAATCTTGGTTTTTAAAAAAAAAAACGTTATTGCGAACTGGAGTCTGATTTATGAGCTTTACCTGTCCTGTAAAATACTTTATTTTACATTGGTGACCACGACGTGACAACTCGCGACCTTCCTTTTGGAGCTGAAAAAATGATGTCGTTGGAGCAATCGAAAGATATTTTATTAGAGATCGTCACAGAAGTAATCGCTTATATGGCTGAAAAGATAAGGCTGGCTGAAGAAAAAGCAAGAAACCCCTTCGCCAACCGCACAAACGTATACAGAGGGGAGGACGGACGGCCTATTTGTTACAGCTGCTTACGAATAGGCCACGTTTCGAAATACTGCTGGGACAGGCGATATGCCCAGGCTAGTGACGTCAAAGACAGTATCAAGTTTGGGATCCCGCAGTATGTATCAAATTTTCAGAACGCACTAGATGGACTGGAAGCCAAAATGAGGGACTTGAGGGAATTAAATCGACAACTCAAGGATTGGTCAATGCCCTACCAGTTTGATGTTGTTCCATCAGTGCCTAATCATTCTTATGAAACGCAAGGGCAGAATCAGATGGAATCTTACGAGCACGTTTCTTCGCTTGGAAAAGAGATTTGTCATGAAAGACAACAAATGGCTGATAAAAGGGAATCCTTCCAAGAGAAACACAAACTTGATTGGAAACACAAACATTTGAAAAGAGACTACGGAGAACCGCTTAGAGATATTACATGAAGTAGCTGTATTGTAAACTAACTTTATTTTAAATTTCTTGTTTTGTTTGTTGTTCTATTTGCATTTCTCTCTCTGAATAATTCAAGCCAGGAGGCTTGTCTTTGAAGGAGGGAGTAATGTTATACAACTAGTTTTGTCTGTCGTGCATCGTGTTTGTGGTTCGTTATTGTTAATGAGAATGTCTTTCGATGTTTGCGTCAGTAATTTTGTTTGTCATCGTGCCATCTCTATTTTAGTTGTTATTAGTTCATTTGCCGTTAATTTGTGTCATTAGGGCTTTATGTGCGTCACTCGTGTTGTTAAAAGCGTATGTTCTTTGAGTGCAAGTCCAGTCGAGTCGAAGTTTTCGTTGAATAAAGTCGTCATTTTGTAGTTGTTGGTTGCTGCTAATTATACGATCGCTATTGAAGAATCTTGGTTTTTAAAAAAAAAACGTTATTGCGAACTGGAGTCTGATTTATGAGCTTTACCTGTCCTGTAAAATACTTTATTTTACACCGGACCGTCTGCGGTCGGACTCCTCTTTTCCCCTCCAATCTTCCAACCCTGGCTACGTCACTGGTCTGGAGCTCAAGTTACCTGTACCTGAGCATCACGTACATTTTGTTTATACTTGTAAGAACCAAATATTGTTTTTGTTAGCAGTAGTCATGATGAGACCATCGGTTCCAAGGGCTTTGCTGGCGAAATGTTATTGAATGTGGGGGCGGTGGAGACTTTTTTGGGGTGTGGGGAAGGAGAAACTTTCTGGGAATATTACATTCTAGGAGTGGCCAGCAGGTGCACCTAAATTATCTACAACATCGACTTTCACCAGAAGTAGATCCTAGTAATATGTGTACTATTTCCTTTATGATTTTGTCTCATAATTCAGCTTGGTTCGATTCTGGAACGAAGTTGCACAGTTTTTTAATAAACTTCTAAGTGCGATAAACGGGACAATCTTGACTGGACAAAAGCCGGGTAAAAATAGAGGAAGAGAAAGAAAGTATGCAAAACATGAACACTATCAACTTCCTTAGAAGATGCTGCAAATATTTCCCTGCCAGACAAATATCTTTCAAAAGCTACAGCCTTATCATTATTACACCCTTGGTTTAAGATGAGAGTTTTTTGACGAGCAAAATGCGCCTGAGTAGAGGCAAACCTCTCGCACTCTCCCAAAAACTCTACGAAATGATTCCTGATAAAATTTAGTTCAAAATTGACGTAGCTTTACTTTCCAGACTGGGGAGGGGAGGGGGTTGGGATTGCATGTCATAGTCATGTAGTAGGGATGGAGAGTCATAGTCAGCAACAGTAAAATTTACCAACTAAAGCATAGGTGAAGAATACTACTGTGCGTTATGCTTATGTAAGTTTATGTCTGTATCCAAGCACAATCAGTGAGGTAAGGTTGAGGCCCCCGCTTTTTGAAAATTCTCCTGAAAGGATTACTATGGTATGCAAAATCTGGGCGCTGCAAAGTACGAAGGGAACAAAAGATCACCATGAGACTGGGATGAAAAGGAGGTAACAGATAACCATGTGCACCACCACAACAACACATTGAACATCTACAACTTTGTCAAGATTTCATGAACTGTGCTGATTTGAAAAAGTAAGAAATTGCCGAGGGTGAAGCAAAATGAAGTATGTTCTATTTTTTCTAAAATCTTGTGATGTTACGTATAGAAAATAACTCGCTAATCGCTTTTCATAAAATCTTTAGGCCTAAAAAAGTGAACCTGTCGTGCGAGAGAGATGACTCCACAACACTCAAGTTTTTAAGCCTTGGCTGCTTGGAGAGAAACCAGTTGAATATTTAATCGTGGTTAATTTGTGACATGGTTAATGTAATTTTATCATGGTCAATTTGTGACAGTGTGCGCCTTTTTGGTGCCCATAAGGCTTTTGTTTTTTGGCACAGAGAACCAAACATGACGATGGTTTGTGCTCATTGTTGCATGTAGTGGTCGAGTTAGCATTACATTGTGTCTTTTTTACAAGGCCAAAGCAACAAACATGCAATTGTGAATTGCCCTTGAGTATTGCAAGCAAATCCCTGCGAAAAATACTTTTTTCAAAATTTTAAGTAATAATCAAAATTTGGTGCTGACAACATTTCTATGACTCAGCAAGATTTGTTTTCCTTTAATTTTAACTACTCTAGTCCAATATTTCAGTTTGGCTGCAGTTTTGATTTTGTTGCATTTCTGACTTTCTCTGGGATCTCTGTCTCATGGCCTTGTATCTCATGAACAGGGCCTTTGCTAGATATTGCTCTCAAGGGGGATTATCAGTGCCAATACGCCATCTTTGCAACCTTTTCAAAACCCTTGACACTCTGGAACCTAGGCTAGGGATGGGATCCCAGCATCCATTGGCAGTCTACTATTAGTTACCAAACATCTGTAAGTGTAAGCAACCAACTGATTTGCTTGACCTCACAGAGGTTGGAAATGAGACATAAATACTATGGAAAATTTCAATGATCAGATTTAGAAAAATAATGCTTCAATTTTACAAAAATACTTCATCTTGTATTTCCAACATCATTGCTCTTCTGTTGATGTTCTTATGGTCATGTTTTATTGATGTGCTCCTAAAATTTTGCAATACCTTTACCATCTTCATGTTGCCATCTTTTCAAATGCAAAACAGATAAAACTATGACACATAATGAAAAAATAAGCTTATGAATTTTTTCTTATATCTGCATTGGGCCTAAAGTGACATATGTTGTATATATTTTGAGTGCAGTTTCTGGACATCCCTAGAAAGTTATACTTTCAAAATTTTTCAACAAGCCAAGTCAAATTTTTGAGATTTATTCGTAACGATAAAAAAAGTTTACAAACATTTCCATGGTTATTTCTGGTTTCTAAATCCATGTTTTGAATATTTTAGATGAGTTTTTAAAGTTTCAAGAACATTTGTAAAATTTTTCTTGGTGCTATCCGGGTTTCGGGGTTTCCATTAACTCGTAGGTGGTTTAAAAGATACCCGGGTTAAAACTGACCCACTCTGAGACCGGTTTTCAAACGAAATTTAATCCTTTTAGTCGATAAGAAGCCTATTTGTGGTTCAAATTTCATAGATAATAGAAAGAATGCAACTCCTTGCAACCGATTAGGTGTCTGTTACATTTGATATTCTGGTACGTTTGTGTTTTTCCCAAAAAGTATCTTTTTAGTTCTTGATATTAGAAAAAATTTCAATAGTATACTCATTAATAAGGTTAAAAAAATTATAACTTGTAGTTAGCTTAGTTTCTTATAAAAAATGCGCATTTTAGCTTTTGTGATGTAAAAATAGAGGCCTACTAGGAACATTGAAAATTATGCCAAGAATTCTAAACTTGGTAGCAAATTGGCTGTTGGTAGTTTGAAATAGTTTTTGAGCAATTTGAAATTTTAGAGTGCAATTTTCAAGGTTCACACAGGATCTACTCATTTAAAGCGTTTGAATCCTAAAATTAATAGTACGAATTACGGGGGAATTCGTCGACGTAAGTTAAAAGTTGAGCTCACTTCTTTTGGCCTTTACATGTTTTAGCAGCTCCATGTCCTAGGTCAGAGTCTAATCAAAAATACTCTCTGGTCTAGCACAGTACCAAAAAACCAAAAACAATATTCACTTACCTGCTGCGCTGAATACATTCTTCTCGATCCCTTTGCTTGCAATACTGATTTTTTGTTAAAAGTGCCCGACCATTATTGAGCATTTCGCATCTCTACAAGTCTTTCTTCTGTTCTCCACCAATAGATTGTCTAGTAGGAGTGTAGGGCTAGGGGCTGAGCTCCCCTTGTTCTCGGCAAACTTCTAATTTTTCTATTGTTTTTCGCAACATTTTATGCAAGAGCCCCCCTTGTTATTTTGATAGCACCACTCCACTGCTTAGGATTCAAGATGCTGTTAGGACAAACACAGCTTAATATCTTACACAGGATCCTACTAAAAACCTTACAGGGTTATAGAAGAATCCTTATGTTGAATCTTGTATAGGATTCTATACCCTTAGGATTCAAAATGCTGGTAAGATTCTGGTCAGAATGTAACAGGATCCTGTTTAAGATTATACAGGATCCTATTTTTATGTTCAAGATCCTGACAGGATCCATGTCACAATCAAATAGGATCTTGGAATTGTTAGGTATAAAGAGCCTAAAGTCTAGTTCTTGTAAGATCCCACAATGTCACTCTGGGTCCTAGCAAGATCCTATTAAGATTCCTGTTTTAGAATCCTGTAAGATTTTAGTAGGATACTGTGTAAGATCTTGAGTTGTGTTTGTCCTACAGGATCCTTACATAGGATCTTGCATCAGATCCTATGCGCACAAGATCTTGCAGGATTTTTGAAAGGACCTTGTCCAGGATCCTAAAAATCTAGTATCCTTCTAGGATCTTATAGGATCCTGCAAGATTTTTCACCGGGGATAGTAGCTCTTTTAGAACAAGGTTAAAAGAATGTTCAAGCGAGATATTGACATATATTCTCAATTGCACTGGCATATATTAGCTTTAGAATCATCTTGTTCTATACATAAAAGTGTGTACAGCTCTGCTTATATGGCATCAAGCATATTTAATAACAGACTGGTAAACAGTAATTTTCCTTACAAAGCTTTGAATTCTATTGAAGCAGTTGCATCTCAGAACTCATCTCTTTTCACCTTTTGGTGTGCCAGACAAATGCAACATGTTATAAAAACAATAACATCAAGCTGAAAATGTTTCCATGTCTTAGTAAGACACCCATAATTTGCCATTTTGATTAGAATTTTTTTTCACATTTATTTGTAGATTGAATATTGATGGGCTATTGGTGTATTTTCCCTATGACTACATCTACCCAGAGCAATATTCATACATGTTGGAGCTAAAGAAAACACTAGATGCAAAGGTAAATCATATTGCCTTTCAATTTATTTTGATTTTGTTGTACTAATTGAAACTTAACTTTATCATCAATACAAATTATAGTAGCTAGCATTCTTAGGTTTAAGTCAGAATAGTCACCAGTTAGTTTTGCTTGATGAACTCATTTATGTTCCGAAAATTGTTTTCCTCATTTATGTTCATTTTCTTTCATTCTTTTACTTTATCTACCTTCTTTCCAGGGCCATTGCCTGTTAGAAATGCCATCTGGAACTGGCAAAACATTGTCTTTGTTATCCCTAATTGTGTCATATTTGTCTGTAAGTATGTGTGGTTAATGATACTTTTTATCAATGGAAGCTATGTAAAATTGCAGGTTGATTTTTTGCTAGGCTTATCTTAGGTGGCCCTAGATTACTGCTGATTTACAAAGCTGTGAGCAGGAAAATTTAAAATGAAATTACCTGCTTCCTATAATGTTTTTTGGAAAATTGTCTTCGTGGGAAGTTTATTGCCCAAGGTTGTCAGTGGTTGAATATTTTGCCTACCAATTTTACCAAATTGTAAGAAAAAAAGTAAATTTAGAATCCTCGAAATCTCTACATTGCCAGAGAATCAAAGATTATTGGCTGGCAATGATAATTAGTGATTTGCAATATTGGGAACTTAAGCCCCCTGTGCTGCCACTTCTATGCCTTAAGATGAAGCATACCAGTGTACATAGAATTGAAAATTTTTAATAAAGATAAAGTTAAGACAGATGGAATAAGCTTTTTCCATGAACTGCTTCCTGCAATTTGTTAAAGAAGCCAAAAGTGATAGGTAAATTTGTTAATTGTAATTCTTGGCATGGCTTCAAACATTATATACTCATTCTGAATTTTGAACACATTTCCTCAAATCAATGCCAAACAAGAACTTTATGCATGTAAATGCTGGAAAACTCTATATTAAGTTTCCTTTGTACCATTTTAACTTTAAGATAAAGTCCAACAGTTAACATCTTGGGGAGGAAACGGATCATTGCCACGCCACCCCCCCCCACGTGTTGTGAACTATTTGGGACTTGTCAGCACTTTCAACTATGGTTTCTAAAACAATAGTCCTGCACCAACTCTAAGTTGTATCTTGCGCTGTTAGAAAATTAGTCTCTTTTCCTTTTTTAGAATTCGATCGCCACGACAGCCCTGAACGTGCTTAGAGCTGTGCACTTCGCGACTGAAAAGATCTCACAAATCGTGTCACCTAAACTAATACTTAGCAAAGCAAAGAATAACTATCTTTGTCGCAACAAACAACTAAATTTCGCGGCTCGGCGTTTCTGCCCTCAGGTGCTGTAGGTGAAAGGTTCCAAGATCATTGCATCAATCAATATTGAAAACTTTATAACGGTTTCCATTCCAAAAAGCAACTCAAGTATAAAGTAGAACTACCCATGGGTGTAGCGGGTGCTATGAAGCTACCTACAAAGCATCAAAAGAGTACCGGCATTCTTCGTACACAGCGACAGGATACCTATGTTTTAGAATTCGATCGCCACGACAGCCCTGAGCCATGATAACTAATTGTCAAAATCATAAAGCTACTTACATAGAAGATTGTCCAGAAATCTGCTCTGATAAATCTCTAGTCTCAAAAGGCTTACATTTATTAAATGCCTGCATGCATGGAAGTGTTCCGGTGCATGATGATTTGCAAAATTGATACAAATTTTATCGAGTACTCAATATAATCGCTTTTTTACTTGGTATTCACTTGTGTTGTGTCTCTACTAAGCACTGTTATTTATGCGAAAATTGCAAATAAATTTCCAAATTGTATCGCTGAATACATATTTAACAGTGAATATGAAGGCCATTACCTATTGACAATCTGTTTTCATGTTCCTTTTCTCTGACCAAAATTGAAATCATTAAAGCCCATTTCTTGAATACACAACTTCGCCAAAACTCCTTTGAATACCACGCATATTAATACAACCAGGGAAGTGTAACAGAAACGATACCTCATTTTCCCAAGAGCAATGTTGGTTATCATCATCAATTCTTGGATTCGAGCAATTTGTATCTTCACATTTGGCAAAAATGGATAACAGAATTGGAACCTTCATGTTGAAATTAGTCTGTGCCAAAAATTTTTAATTGTTTGGGCCGTCAGGCTGGGAATTACCCCATTTTCAAAATTTAGCTTTCCCTTTACATTTCAATGGAATTTGTTGCTGTAGTGAAATTTTTTTTCTGCAGCAGCAAGTTCCGGTCAACTCTAAAGAAATATCTAAATATTCGAAACATAGTAACATGCGACCGAACGGTCCAAACAACATGAATTTTTAAGTATAAACTAATTTAAAGATGAAGATTTCAATTCTGAATTACATTTTTGAAAAAGATCCGTAGATAGCGAGATACAAAATTGATGACGTCAACTTGAATCCATCAATATAGATAAGAATCGATTGAGCATAATTTAACCATTGCAAGTAATCTAAAAAGCATTGAAACATGAATGTAGTGTGCTGTATAAATATTACAAATATTTAGAGTGGTGCACAAAGACCTTTGGTATTCATTGTGTTTAGATGAAAAAATTCTAAAGGTCAATCTTCAGGGTGGATCTCTGTGGTTAATGTAAAACTTATGCAGTTCAAGTCAACCTCTCTGGGCTAATGAGAAAAAACAATAAAACTCCAATAGGTCCCAAACAGCAACATTATCAATCCACTTGAGTTCTTTTGAGAGCCGTTGACCCCTCTCCTACACCCGAATTATTCCCCACTGTACCATCCCCAACGGCGCCACTCCTTCCCTTTCATGATAAAAGCTGGTTGACAAAGGTGCTTTTAAGGAATCACTTTATTGTTGGTAAAAAGGGTGCTTTCTTCATAAATGTCTGCATCGATAGATGTAAGCTTGCACATTCCCAAGTCAAGGGGGTCAAATAGATCACCTTCCTACAATCAATTGACCATATTTTCTTTAGGCTTGCAATGCAGTACATAACAATATGGATTTCTGTGAAAAAATAGAACATTTACTGTATAGAAATTTTAATTGCTTGTACTCGAAACGCTTTTGATTGGTTTTTCAATCTAGCCTACCCCCTTGTTCATTTTTGCACCCTCAGTTTATTGATTTGGGAAGATATTCCCCAAGTTCAGTTTCATATGAGACCCTTTCACCGTTTCGTATCAGTATTTTTGCACACAGGCTGCATATCATTTAGAGTCATTATCTTCTTTTCAGAACAACCCACATCACTTAACAAAGCTGATATACTGCTCAAGAACAGTGCCTGAAATTGAAAAGGTATTATTTGAAAAAATCTCGCAACAGCTACATTCCACAAGCCAATTATTCTGAAATTTGCAGGTATGCAACATCAAGTATGGCTGATAGCATACAACCCAGATTGAGCTTGCATGTTAAAATCAAAACACTGGATTGTCAGAATATCGTTGGCTATCGGGGAAAATAATCCAGAATCTCATTGTTGCATGATATTTGGACACTTGATGACTATACTCCATTTCAGCTCAATACCATTTATAATAAAATTATTTCCTGTTTTTTCTAAAGCGGTATTCTTTATGGAAACTATAGTATATAAGAAATTATCGCCATTTAAAGTACACTTCTGCGGTTGCCTGTGTGCACAGGGTCGTGAGCATGCTATCTCAACATCATAAAGAACAAGTTTGCCTCTCATGATATTGGCTGAAAAATTAAGCAGCACATTTATTATTACAGTCTTCTAGGCAGGCTTCTGATTTCTTTTATTATTTTAGTTATCAGAACAATAACTTATTTTTCTCACATATAAATATCTGCTATTCTTTTCTCTGGACCGCCGCAGCATATACGTAATGAGGTGTGGGTCATTTAATAAATGACCTCAAAATTTTGAGACCATGCTATATCAGAGAAACACCTTATTTTTGCTCCTTAATCTTCATAAATAAATGCTAAAAGGTTATGATCATTCCATATCAAATGTGTCTTTATCTTTTCATATAAATTTAGGTAGAACATGCCTTGTCAAAATTGGCGATTATTTTCCAACCCCACTTCCTCTCCCCTCGAACCGCCTTTGAAGATAAGTCACTGTAATATGAACAAATTTAGGTAATAAGTTTTGTTTCAGGTATTAAGAAGTATTCTTAGCTTCAGACGGCTAGCTTTTGTGCCAGCCTTTGTTTTACATTACGGATTTTTCTCCTTTGACTTTAGGTTTTAGAAGAGCTTAAAAAGCTGTTAAATTATTACGAGAAAGAAGATGGCACACGACCCAAGATTACAAGTTTAGCATTGAGCTCAAGAAAGAATTTATGTATACACCCACAGGTAAGATGAGCTTCTCAATTTACACTTAAAAGCCCTTGAAAGGGTTTTTTCGACTGATTTTGTTATCTCTATAAATTAGTTTCTATCTGACTCGATGCCCCTTCGAAAGAGTTATCGATACATTTCGTTGTTTGAATAATTTTAGATTGGAACAGAAAGAGATGGGAAAAAAGTAGACAGTATGTGTCATGGCCTAACAGCTTCATATGTCAGAGCTCGTCACAGAGCTGACAAAAATATACCTGTTTGCTCATTCTACGAGGTATTTTAGCCACATACTTTGCTTTCGTTTAACAAATTTGTTTAATTTTTACTCAATAATCGTTATCGTTAAGCAAGCCAAGCAGATTCGAAATCGAAATGTTTCACTCGTTTTCAAAAGCTTGCCTTTTACTGCAAAAAATTGTAACGATTTTAAGTCTATGTGTACATAAAGGTAGCAACTAGATTTCTTATGGATTTTCTCAAGGGTTCAACTCTAGGTTTATAAAATTTGCATAAAAACTATGATTGTTGTTTAGTCAAATGAGTTACTGGTCCATTACAATTAAGGCCAACAAGAGGTGTTCCTAATAGGGAAAAGTATATATTCCTTTACAGTGCTGGTTTGAACATCTATACCTTCATTAGATTCACATTGAAGAATCCTTTATTGCAATTACCAAAACTACCTTCACACAATTTTGTCTTACATTGCAAGCTCCTTAAACGCTTATTGGAACCAACTGAGACTCTTTAGCTATCAACATTGATAAATGTAATTGACCAAGCACCGTTGTTGGTTTTAATCCACTTATTTTTCTCTGTTTTTGCAAATATTTAACGGCACATCATCTCAACAAGAATACTAATTTTTGTAGACATTTGACGCAGAAGGGAGAGAAGAGCCTATACCACCTGGTGTTTACAACTTGGTAAATCCTAATTTATATCAGCTTTATGATGTTATTTGCCGAATTCATGTGTTTTGATCTTTATGGATCAATCTTTATGAGCTGTTGATAAAAGAACTCCCAATTTTTCTGGCGGGCTTCTTATCGGACTGGTTTGATTGTAAGGAATTTTCTTATTTTTGTAGGATGACTTGAAAACTTTTGGCAAGGATGCCAACTGGTGCCCATATTTTTTAGCTCGTTACGCCGTAAGTATAAATATTGAATAAAATGTGGAAAACAATACGTGCAAATAGTTGATACATTGGGTAATTTCAAAACAATATTTGCAGTGTAGATTATTAGATGTAATTTATCGTATGTGTGTGTATTTTTTTTTGCCAGGCCCATTATTATCTTTCTGCATTACCCTGGCATGCTTCTAAAGTTACTGGGTCAAGAGTTTCTTTATCTGTTGCTTGGAACGCAAGTTCATCTAATGAGAGCTATTTATTAACTCGTTAAGTGTTTAATTTTCATTTTAAAATAGAAAACTTCGATAAACTCGAGGTATATTGATAGATTCATCCTTTGATTTTATATTATATTATATTGACAAGTGAGTCTTGGATCTTGGACTGGGTTTGAAAGATACGAGTGTATAATGTTGACAGCTTGTGACGTGACTCTGTCTACTTCTTCAGGATAAACAATGGCGAGCAATTCTGTTGACCTTTAAGATTTTTGTTTGCCTCATCTCTGTTCTACTTTCAGATTACTCATGCAAATATTGTGGTTTACAGCTACCATTATTTGCTTGATCCGAAAATAGCCGACCTGGTTTCCAAAGAAATGGCTAAAAATTCTGTCGTTGTGTTTGATGAAGCGCACAACATTGGTATGACACCTTTTCTCGCAAATATATTTTAGCAGGGGTCTCAAAAGTGCTGGCTGCAGCCCGTCTCAAAAATTTTCAAAACGGTTTTGTTTTACTTCTATAACAGACTATCGAATTGGGTGTTACAGGTGCCTAGTTCTTCCTAGACCACCTTTCTCAACCCACTGTACGCTCTGTCTCGTGCCTAGGTCTCCCCAGACCACCTTCCCTAACTTTATTCAATAATTTATATACTTGTCCTAACAAGCATTTATAAGACACAGTTTTCATGGCATTGCAGTACAAGTATATAATCGGTAATGAAAAAAAGTAGTATTTTTAGGAAAGAGCCGGGTTTGTCATTTAAAAATTTTTTGAACAGTATTTCTTTCTTGTTTGCAATGATAATACTGCATTCAAAACCTTCCCTTTAATCTTGAACTCGCAAATTAATTGCACCTTTGCCAGTTACTCTCAGCTCAATATTAGACTTGTGATTTTGATACTGATAATTTTTAGTTGTAAGATCACTTTTTGCCGGAAATATTCAAGATTTATTGGAAATTCGTTCAAGGTGTGTTGCCACCTCCCCCCTTACTTGTTTTAGTTTATTGGTAGTTTATTGGAATTAGCCTCCAAAGCTCGATTACTAATGTATTCGCTCAATATTCCCATCATATGATTATGTCATTACCCTAATTGTTCATGTTAGGGTGCCTAGCAATCCATTTTTTACAGTTTTTGTCAGCGGATCGTTAAGAGAATGAGTAATTTTTTTAAAAAACAGACGTCACGTTGGGAAATTACCTTAAGTCAGAAAAGTTTCCGGTAAAATTTGAGGAAAAGTTTGTAAGATTTTATGGTTTCAATATGTATCATATAAGTCCGAATTTGGTGGCAAATGGTGCTGTAAAATTTGATACATTTGTTGTTTGATTGACCGAGTGAATAAATGACAATATTCACAAGTCAATATTCAATAGAGCACAAAAAAATTTTAAATATTTGAAAAAGTAAGACAGACGATTCTAACGGCTTCTGTTTCCTAACAAAAATCATGGGATTTGAAGGGATGGGTTGGTGGACGTAAGGATCATAAGCCTGATTTCCGAGATCAGTTTTTTTGGTATGTTTAAATGGCTATCAAAATTGAACTGTTTAATATTTTCACCTCTAGTTTTTCCATTGCGATCCTTGGAATGCCTTGTTTAAGAAAGTACCATTTTTAACCAAATTGAAAATTTAATAAATTCTAGGGCTAGGCACAAGGTGTTGTGGCAATTTTCCACAGCTATGACGACATCTTCTATATTTTCATCGGTATTAATTGAGTATTACCTAAAAACAACTGGCATGACAATATTCTCTTTCTGATACCGTGTTGTGTATCATTTCAAATCCAAATTTGTATTATTGTACAAATATGATATTGAAGTAATTTGCAGGTGTATCAAGCCTAACGTCAGCTGTAATTGCGACGACTTTCTCTTTAAACTCTAGACAATGTGTGCATAGAATCGATGAGTGTCAATATAAACAGAAGAACTTTGGATCGATGTCATGCTAATATTGAATCTTTGTCTTCAACAATACAAGAGTGAGTGCAATCTGCGTACTAGAAACAGAGATTTGATTGGCTTTTATTTTGCTAGTAGATTGATTAAACAAGTGCTGCTCTTGACTTCGTATCCACTTCGCCTAGATAATTTTGAAAAATTGTCGACCACGACCTTTAAAGTTTACCGTGTTTCTTGGTTATTGATTTTTCTTTGTTAATCAAGGTTGATATGCTTGCTGTTCGTCTTAAATGTACGTCCTCGTTGGTTTAGTAAAAGGCTCATTTCATAAACTCATTTTGCAATCCCACCCTGAGCCAAATTGTTCCCTTGTTTCATTTCAACTTTTTACTTCAACCATATTTTCTTTGTATATTGTTGTATGTTGTATTTGTGTTGTGTTGTATTGTATATTTGTTCGAGCACTTAACAATATAACGACTTCTATAGCCTAAGACGAAATGTTACCTTTCAAAATTTGTCTCGCTGCTTCTGATCAAAGTTTGTGGAACTGAAGCACGAGCAGAGTGACATTGCTTATATAGGACCGTACATTTCGCTGCTCGATGAGTGCTCGTACATTTAAGTAATATGAAATCTTCTGTTACTTATTTTTGTACGTTTTCATGTGCATAGCCTACATCAATAAAATTTTGAGTTCGTTTTTCTGATCTTTCTCGAAGAATGATGATAACTGCGATGGAAAAATGACTTGTAGATTCTGTAATCTCTTTTCAATCAATTTTAGGCTGAAGGAGAATGATAAACAAAGACTTAAAGGAGAATACGAGAGACTGGTTCAGGGTAAGTATTCGATGCACTC